CCTGTTAATAGCCACTCCCTGCAAAATAGGCTTTGGCCCAAACTGGATCAGGTGGATGAAATCCATCTACTCCACCCCCACCGCCAGATTGCGGATAAATGGACAACTCTCAAATCCGGTACAAATCAGAAATGGCACGAGACAGGGGTGCCCCCTTTCTCCCCTCCTGTTCATCCTTATAATGGAACCCTTCCTCAACGGTATTAGGAGTAACTCAGCCATACAAGGAATGCAAGTGAAACAAACAGAGTACAAAATATCGGCCTTTGCTGATGACCTCCTATTCACCTACCAATCCCCAGAAGCTTCACTACCCCCACTACTAGAGGAAATATCCCTCTACCACACGCTATCCAACTTCAAAGTCAACTTTACCAAAAGTGAAATCCTTCCAATCAAAATATCCCCCCAGACCTGTGCGTCCCTCACAACACGATTCCGTTTACGTGGGCGGAATCAGCAATAACTTATCTGGGAGTACCTCTCCCAATAGACCTATTACCTTTGACATAAATTACGAACCACTCTTCCAATCTATCTCAAAAGACCTCCAATCGTGGCATAAACCACAATACTCCTGGCTCTGCAGAATTAACATTCTAAAAATGAATACCCTCCGTAAGATCCTATATCTATTCCAAACCTTACCCATAGCTATACCCAAGATATTCTTCACTAAACTAAGGACACTGTTTACAACTTTCATATGGGCTCATAAACAGCCGAGAATCAAATATGAAATCCTCACCAGACATAAATCCCAAGGCGGACTGAATCTACCACACCTTGAACGTTACTACGAAGCCACAGTCCTGTCGCGGATATATGAATGGTCGATTCACCCCCCAACACGACAGTGGCTAAAGCTAGAAAGCTCCATATTCAATTTTCCCATACACACAATCCCGTGGCAAAAATCAACCCAATCAACACTCCTCCTCAGCCACACTAAATACCCTACGATCCGACCCACGCTCCTGACCTGGTCACGCATTCGCAAGTCAACTAATTTGTCCCTCCACCCATCCCCCTTATACCCCATCACCCACAACCCGCTCTTCACCCCAGGCATGAAAGCCAAGCCATACCTCACCCTCCAAAGAGGAGACATACCTCCAGTTGGGCACCCTCTTGGAGAGTCACCACATTCGCCCCCTCTCCAACCTGACAAGACATTCATACACCAATGCAGACCTTTCTTTATGCCCAGGTAGCCCACTTCATAAGGGACAACCCTACCCTATACGGAGGTGCACGCACGCTCTCAAACTTCGAAATACATTGTAAATCAAACAATATCAAAACCAAACTGCTCTCGACGTTCTATAAACTTCTCGGCTCAGAACACGCTAACACGCTACCACCCTTCACAGACTCATGGGCCAAAGACCTCGACGCCCAAATTACAAACCCCCAGTGGAACACTATTTTCCGTCAAATACATGCCACCTCAATATGTATCACGATCCAGGAGGGTAACTACAAGAGAATTGCTAGATGGCACTGCTCACCAGCCAAAATACATAGCCTCTTCACAAACACACAAGACATATGCTGGAAGTGCTCCCAAGGGGGAGCCTCCCAACTCATACCTGGTGGACATGCCCAATACTCCAGAAGTACTGGAACAATATAGTAAAAATGCTCAAAACAATAACGGGAATTCAAGTGCCAACTATCCCACAAGCATTACTATTCATGATCCTCCCAAGCCCCATGCCCAAACCGCAACATATTCTCCTCACCCACCTTATAACCGCAGCCAATTTACTCATTCCTGTCAAATGGAAAAACTCTAATGCCCCATCAATCAGGGAATGGATTGCCAAAGTAGAGACAATCAGAACCATGGAGGAAATCCATGCCTCCATTGCCCACAAACAATCACTCTTTCAGAACGTCTGGGACCCATGGGTCAGATTTATAAATGACATGTAGATCGGGTATACCCTAATGAAGGAGGAACACATACACCAGCTCCCCAACACCTTAACACACCTCCGGTGCAGACACCGACCCAAGGGACCATACGCCCTCCCTCCACCCAATCCCACCGCCCAAATCCTTTCACCCACACCAACATAACCCACTCTTCTCCCCGCCGAAACCTACACCACCTGACACAGCAACGCGCCCATCAGTCACATAACCATCACTAACACTCTTTCATACAACGCGGGTAAGGTGAATAAAGGAGTGAACAGACCTATTCGGCCACCCGCGACCATCATAGGCTATCGACCTCGCGACTGATGGTTCAGCTCGTTTTTGTTATGATCTACTATAGTTTTATTATGATCTTATCTTAATTGTGAACACAGGACTGATAAGATGATACATTATAAACGTTGCCATCATACCACAGTGAATGTACTGAAATGGGATATCCATGTTTCATGTATCATAATGGCTCCAATGCATCATACCAATGTATTGATATCTGAACCTCGCACCGAGCCTGATGAAGCTGATGTGGCAATGCAGGCACCATTGTATTATTAAACAAACTGCCAATAAAGAAAACTAAAAAAAATAAAATAAAAGAATCGCTCTTTGCATGGTCCTAATATCCACTGCACAGTACGAGCACTTCAAACGATATGTTCATGCTGTGCTGCCCTGGTGTCCCCAGATGTAAGGACTAAATTGGGAAGATGGGACTGGACAAAAAAACAGGGAGTGTCAAGCCAAAAGCAGGACATTTGGGAGCACTGTTAAAGCATAATTTCAGTGTAACAATTCATTGTTTGTCATATATCATTAGCAATGAAACTATTTTCAATGGTAAAGTATATTTTTACTATAACTGAAAAAGGAAGAATGAAAGAAAGTTATTTCTGTAGTTAGATTTATATAAATATAATGTTGTTGCATAAAAACATTAAATCTAATGAAACAAAAACAAAGTTGTTAATTTATTGCTTTGTGCAATAACCTACCTCCAATGGTTCACCAATTACGTGGTCAGGCATTGTCCTCTTATACTGCGATAGTAAAATTCTCTGTTGTTTAAACTATACATTGGGTCCAGTCACTTGATAAATCCTGCCGCTTCTATCTCAAAAACATAGCTTGACTACTGCAATCTGCTTCTCAGTGGTCTTACGCGTTCCCAGCTGGCCTCGGTACAGTCCATAAGGAATGCATTGGTGAGGCTCATCTTGTTCACCCGCACCTCCCATGCCTCTCCCCCCTCATTCACCCTTTACACTGGATTCCCGTAAGTAATAGGACTCAATTTAAAAAAAAAAAAATTCCACTAGAGCAGATCTAACTGTGATCTGTTCTACTATCAGGTGATCATTTCTGACTCTCAGCTAGGATTTCCAGATCCACCATGTTTCCTGAACACATATCACGTATACATATTGATGTGCAATACAGAGAAAAACGTTCCTGTAATATTCACCAGGACCTGTGATCACCATAATTGGTCCAATGTGTTTTATTTCCTCTGCTCTTACAACATACAAGATGAAATATATCAAGAGGAATTTACATTACACATGTAAATCTGAGCGGGGACACACCGAAGGGCAGGCTATTTCAGCTGCTGCCCGTTCTCAGTATACTCTTGCAACCCATTTTTTTGCTCTCCACAAGTTTAAAGGGATAATCCAGACGTGGACTCCTTGCTCACGGTGCCTAGGGAGATATCAGCTATGCCTCACTGATGATGCCTAACAAGGCTGAAACGATCGTCTGGGGTTGCTGTGTCTCTCGTGCAGAGAGAACTTGCTGGCATTTCAGATCTGGACTGCCCGTATGGGTGGGACCAGTCTGATATGTTTCAGAGATGTTCTCTATGTAATGGCACAAGATGAGCAAAAACCAGTTTGAGATCTGAGCGGGGACCCACCGAAGGGCAGGCTATTTCAGCTGCTGCCCGTTCTCAGTATACTCTTGCAACCCATTTTTTTGCTCTCCACAAGTTTAGGTACTTATGAAAGTATTTAGAAAATTGGGTAGACTAGATGGGCCGAATGGTTCTTATCTGCCGTCACATTCTATGTTTCTATGATATATTTTCAAGTTTAGGAGGCAGACTGTTTGTTAAAGGCACGGATACTGCATTTGTTTTCCCTAGGACTGAACCCTTGGCATTGGTCCACCTCTTATAGAGTTCTTGGTGTTTTCTCCAGGCACTATTATACTGAAGGGAAAATAAATCAAAGTCACATTAAAGGCCAGGTTCAGTGTGGAATAATCAAAACAGAGCACAATAATAATTAAGGGTCAATCCAGGATTATATTATTATAACAAATAACCAACACGGACTGTGAAAACAGTAACCAACACTCTCCCAGGACACAGATACTGTATTTCAGTCCTGTAGGAAAAACAAGTTTGTCAAGAGTAATTTTAACAACATGAGATGCTTCACGTGATATAGCTTTAATAGTGAATCTATTTATCAATGTCACAATGACAAAAGTGCACCAAGTAACACAAACATAATAAAGATTAAGAAAGAAAATCAGACATCTGGTTGTTTGGTACAAACTACATTCCCAATTAAATTCCAGGGGAATCATACAGTAATTATTGTAGTGTCATCCTTAGTGTATTTATATATATATACATATATATATATAGAACTACATTTCCTTAATATTACCATAGAGTTTATGAAAATAAATATATATATGCACATATAGAACTATTTTTTTTTTTTAAATGGCCTTTTCAGTCAAATCTAAATGAACATTTGTGCTATATAGTTAAAATATAGATACAGCATAAGAGCACACACTATCATATCCTGATATATAATAAACATTATAATAAAAATACAGAATAAAATATAGATATAGCATAAAAGTGCACAATATCATACCAAGAAATATAATAAACATTCTTATAAAAATACAGAATAAAATGGAGGAGTCAATAAAAGCTTCAGTACTTGAAAAGGTAATATATTCTATGGGAGAAATTGCAAACAGATGACCATTTGTCAAGCCAATGACCTGAGGCACACTGTTGAGTTATATTGTCATGATAATAGTGTAAAAAGCTCATTTTGATAGGGTCTTCTGTGACAAAAATGAAACTGTCATGAATGAAAGGAATAATTTAGACTGACAAACCATCTGTCTTTATAGTACTGTGACTGCTTGTCCTGTCAGGTGTACTAACCAATGATACATGACTGCTGAAATACATAAAATAATAAAAACAATATATAAGGTATTGTAAGGGTAGTGCTGCTGCCATTATTTCAATTCCTATATAAATGACAAAAAATAACTGTATTTGAAATTATACTCTTTAAAATTTCTTTTTTAATGATAATGTAAAAACAAATACCGCATACTGCCATCTAAGGAATAATTCTTTATTTTCATAAACTCTATGGTAATATTAAGGAAATGTAGTACTATATATATTAATACTGTTGACAGCATTGTTTCTATATTTGGCGTAAACAGTCAATTATAATTGTAACAGGGGTCCTCAAACTCCGGCCCTCCAGATGTTGCTGAACTACAACTCCCTTGATCCTCTGGCTATCGATGTAATTCATAGAATCATGGGAGTTGTAGTTCAACAACAGCTGAGGGGCCACAGTTTGAGGACCCCTGGATTATAATGTAACAATTATATTTGATTGTTTATTGTTACATAATGTGCAGTTATGGAACAAAACTCTAAACATTTAGCAATAACCAGGAACTTCCAATTTATATTACTGGATATTGTTTCACCAAAATTGGTCTTTATAGACAAACCCTGATGACTTTAATTATTACTGTAATTACACTGCTTCAACATCACCATTAAATATTTATCTTCCTTGACCATGTCCCTGCTTGGGTTCATTTTTCCTCTTTATTGATATCCTTGGTGACTCAAGATTTATCTTATTTACTCTACTATTGACTTTACTAGTGAATTAACTCTTCTACATATAGCCAGTAATACCCTTTACATTATCTTTTCCGTGGTGTGATTACCCTATCCAAGCCTGGTAAAGCTTCTTCCCAATATCACTTTTAAATAAAGATGCCAATATATTTGCAAAAATGTTTGCTAACCACTTGGGCTTCCCACTCCAAATCATATGTAGCAATCAGGCGGGTTTTGCAAAAGGAAGACAGGGCTCTGACCACACCAGAAAGTTACTGAATCTGCTGTATAATATGCAACAGAGCCACAGAGGAAGACTTCTTTCTCCAGATGCAGAGATGGCTTTTTATTGCCTCATATGGGAATTCCTTGATGCAGTCCTGTGTAAATGTGGATTTCCCACCAGCTTTCACTCAGGGATAAAAGTGCAATATAACAACCCAACAGTCTGAAATCTAACTGCTAGGTTTAGCTCAGATTCGTTTGATATCATGAATGGAACTAGACAGGGATGTCCCCACAACTGAATGCACTGGCACTAAAGCCACTAACAGCTTGCATAGGGGCAGATCCATCGATCCACGAGTTGAGGTAGGTGATAGAGACTATATATTGAACTTATTTGTGGACCCCGGAACAGTGGGATCTCTCATTTAATTGTCATAAAGGACTCACATCATGTGTCCCACACCTAGAATTGCAATGCAAGATATCTTACAGATGGTATTTAGTGCCATCCAGATCATCTAATATTTTTCCAAATTGCTCCAATCCCTGCTGGAGATGTCACACAAGTGTAGGTACAATGTATCATATTTGGTGGTCTTGCATGGTCCTTCAATCTTATTGGAATGCGATTGCTTAGATCCTATCCTTACTACCGCAGATTAATTCTCTGCCCCAGCCGGTAATTTACATTTTATTTATGTTGCCACAAGATATGCCTAAATTAGCTCTTAAATAGATGAACCAAGTACTAATAGCTGCTAATAGCCAGACTTCAGATATCTAGTAGAATCCTCACACCACATCCCCACAGGATCTTTTACATCAAGATACCCTAAACTGGACCTATGAAGGCATGACACATACCCACCTATGCTAAAACACATTGACGAGCAAGGCAAAGGGACCTGTGGGACACATTTCTATCTAGGAATCATGTCTTTGTCTAGAGCTTCTTCCTGTATGCTATACATTAATTGTTGTGAAAACTAATAAAAATTGTTAAATCAAAAAAAAATTATTAAAGCAGAAGTCTAGGCACCATAACTACAAGGTGGCAATATAGTGGTTTTATTGCCTGTAGTCAGGGGAGGGGACTCATAGTCCTTGGCCAAACTATTTTCGAGTGGCTGAGCCCCCACTCACCAGAATTTCTAACATGTTAGCTAACCCACACGACCAATGAATGTTATTAATAAATTGATGAAATTGCTAATGTAAGGTTATGATGCTTAATCCTAATTGAAAATAAGGAATCCACTATTTCTCCTGTTTTGAAAAACAATTTGCAATTGCTATGACTGGTTGAGTGAATAAACCCTTCCCCTAGAGTTTTGTTGACTTGCAATTCACTTGAAATTCAGCCACCTGATATTCTGATCTTTAGCCTGTTCAGTCCAGTAGGAATATAGTAGCTGGAATTAGTTACAGTAATTCATGGACAAGTAAAACTTTCCCTTAGACAGACCCATGACTCACAGTCCATGCAAGCCACTGTTTTCTCTGACTTAATGAGTCTATGGCCTAATACCTGCTTCCTTAAAATTTTACATGAGTAGTGAGTGTTAAAATTAAAAGAAGAATGTTATATTCACTGGACTGGATCCCAAAAGGCTCTTGGTTATCACATCACATTCAGCTAGGGCAGATTGGGAGAGAAATTATCTGGGTAACTGGACTAACCACTAAAATGAAAACAGTGTGCACCACAATCATGTCTCTGGGAGCTTGAGGGCTTACTGGAAGCTATCTCATTTGCATTTACATCACTCTTCTAAACCTGTTTTGGGCATTACATATATATATACATGTCAATAGTTTACTAAAACTATAAAAGTCAAATATCTTGACACAAGTATGCAGAAAAGTGTAGATATTGCCAAGAAAAACAGTAAATACAACAACCTGGTTTTGACATTAAAATTCTCTAAGCCTAAACCTCTCAGTAAGAGGTAATAAATAATTAAGCCAAAAGATTGTCTAGTAAAACTTTATGCAAAAAAAACAATGTCAAGGATTTTATCACAGATCTTGTCTCTACTATTCTTCTTTAGCTCTCGGTTGCATGCGAGTCTGGCTACTCTCCTCATAAAATGTATTCCTCGATTTTTATTACATTCTTTAGCAGATATATATATATACAGATGACTTGAAGAGTGAGATTGGTGGTGAATTTAGACTCTAACACTAAATGGAAAGACATCACGACATAACAACTGTATAGATATTTGAATTATCCTAAAAAATTCTGATATGGCCGTGAACGACCACATCTGTCTGGAAAATGTCACCATCTGCAATGGCACATCCTGCTTGTTGCCCCCCGACAATTACAACTACATACTGAACTTGGTACTAAGTACTGTGATTACGATCCTATTGGCATTGGTCATGTTTTCTTTGGGTTGTAGTGTGGAATTTAAAAAGTTTTGGGGTCACATAAGACGTCCATGGGGCATAACAGTGGGTTTCCTTTGCCAGTTTGGAATAATGCCGATTGTAGGATTTATACTGGCACTTATTTTTGATGTATTGCCAATTCAGGCTGTAGTAATCCTTATTATGGGATGCTGTCCAGGAGGAACTGGCTCCAATATCTTGTCATTCTGGGTAGACGGAGACATGGATTTAAGGTAAGAGTTTCTTAATGGCATATTTTAAAAACACATAGTTTCCTTTTGTTTTTGTTTTAAGGTTATGATGTTTTTTTACCAGACAATGTGTAAGTTAGGAATATTTAACAAACAAATATAAAAAACACTGTGAATAAATAAGCACCTGTTACCGTTAGTCCCTCGTAATAAATTCCAGAAATGTAATTTTTCCTTCAAGACGCAAAGCGGTATATTAAGTGTTGAAGGAATATTTATTTTTGGTCTACCCGGTACTGTTTTTCAATATTTTTTTAATTCGACAATATTTTTTTTTTGTTTGGATGTGAATATTATGTAGCACAGAAGAACATTCACATTTATATTCTGTACACTTTGAGGATTTGGCTTAGCTCAATTAATATAAACAATATAAATTATAAGGATTAACTGAAAACCTATTTGTGTAACCATAATAATGAGTAATATACTTTTGATGATGTTTAACATCCATCCTATATATAAAGGAAAGATTTCAAAGAAGTGTTCAACTGTTAAAAGGAATTGAGAATTATTCAAAATGTAAGGATTGGGATGGTGTTAAAGTGATCTCAGTTGTGGAGGGAAATGTTTACAACTATTCCCAGAGTTTGCAAGGATAGAACATTGCATCATATATATTTCATTTATTTATATATTCCAAGAAAGGCGATATCAAAATCTCAAATGCTGTTTTGTTGAAGATGACAGCATTGAAGGGTTCCTCATAATCATTACAGTGTTGTAGTGGTTATGACGTAAAGAGTACCCTGGACCCATTTTCCAGAAATGGGACAAACTGTTTCCTGATGGGTTCCCGGCCTCCTTTGTTGGCAGGTTTAGGACATCCAGCTTCTGCAGAACAGAACTTTAGAAACTCTTCTAATAGTATTGGATACCTCCCAAAATTTCAAATGGACAAAAAGGGAAACTTTCATTTTAAGGGTGTGAGTTGGTGGTGTGGTCTGGGGTAGGGCTGTTTTGACAAATTTCACATGACTTAATAAAAATATTTGTATTTAGATGTAATTTAGAAGAAGAACAATGTATCTTATTTACACAGACATATTTATTGTAGTTTAAAGACACATCACTGTAAGTATTATTGCTGGGGAGCTCTGGTATACACTCCAACAAAATGGAGCAGCTAGAAAAAAGAGGGACATTATGAAAGAAAAGGGGGCAGAGGGATTTGGTCCTACAAAAGGGAATGTCCCTCCTAAACAGGGAACCTTGAAATGTATGGTATTTAATCATTTAGTAAGCTTATTAAAATGGCACTGTCTCCGTCTGGGGACTTTGCATAATCTGACAGTGATATCGCCGCTGAAGGTTTGGTTACTTTCCTGAAACCGTCCCTCATGGTCACTGCCATCTTTTTCGGGTCAGTCCTCTTATGGGGCTTCAGCCAACAGCACTGTTATACTCTTACGCATGCATGATAGTTCAGCATTGAGATCTATGGAGGTCCTGCAAAACTGCAGGATCATCCATAGACACAGCTTATGTCTAGCAGTCATCACTGGTGATGGCTGGGAGATCAACACTTCTAGACAGTGGTAGCTCCGTCCAGTGTCTAGAAGTGTCAGGCATAGGAAATATACTGAGAAAAAGTAGTCCCTATTTTCTAAATAAATAAATAACCTTGTATTTTTTTTTTGAAACTCTGAGTCCGGCTGGTGACATTACCAACAGTGCCAAAGCCTTTAAGCAATCAGAAATTACATCAGAATAATAAATGTGACTATAAACATGACATGATGACAATACAATAAAATGTATGATGTATAATTTATTGATGTAGTGAAATATTGCCCATCCCAAGATGTGTTTACTTACCATACACAACAGTTGCCAAGAGGTAATACTAAAGTTTAATAGGCAAGGAAATATCCTCCTTCTGATTTTATAGAGAGATATGTTTTATTTACTTATCACGTTTACTTTTGTACAGTATAGTGAAATCTATGATAATTGTGGAATGAGAACATTGATGGTAAAAGGTGTTTTTAAAACATAACGGAAAGTTGTTTCCAGAGAACCGTGCAGGAACAAGCAATTATTCTTTGCAATGCAGACTACAAGCGCAAGAATAAAAATATGGCAAAGCAGACATACAGAATATATGACAATGGGTTCATTAACCAGGAAAACTGAATATGAACTATTCTCAAGGAGTGTGAATATTCAGTCCCCCTACATAGAAAAGAATATAGAAGCATTGTATTGACCTTTTGTATGCTGCACTGAAAAAAAATCATTTATCTATGGAAGGAAAACCTTTCAGTACCAAATTCAGCTAAAACCATTCACTTAAATAATTTGAGACAATTCAAAGACTTTACTCTAGAGATCACATTTGATCTTATACAAATAAAACACTAATTAACTAGAAGTTTCAATCAGTACGCCTAAATGATGCACACGCTGGGGCCAAAATAACTCTGGGGGCAAAAAATTATTTATTAGAGTCCCAGAACCCTTTATTCAATCACATCATCTCTTCCACCTCACGTGGGCCATCCATATTTCAGCATCAATTCCATCCAACCTGTATAGTAATGATAGGCTCACTGGCCTAAAAGCATTTTCAAGTGAGATCAAGAGTGGCCACACTTATTGTCAATCTGTTCCCAAACTCTTTAATAAATGCTGGAGGACAGTGGTGCTGATACAGTGTTGGCAACATAAATAATGCATTACATTTTAATGCTTATGTTGCATGGAGTGCCTCTCTAAAACAAAAAAAAAGGCTGAAGTAATTAAAATCATCCTCCCAACTGGAAGGCTATGTGGAAAATGTATTTTCACCTTTAATGCAAGGCATGTACTTTTCCTTAATCACAGCTGAAATGGCAGTGAGAATGGCTAAGGAGTAGGAAACTATTTGGGTCAATTTATTTCAATGTTGGTAGCAGTTACTCCTCACACATACCTTTAGACATAAATTTCCATTATCCTTGGTACCAGATTGTTGATTCTTTTGCGTACATTGGAGGTGGGCTGCTCTACAGCTATACTACTTAGAGGAACTGCACTACACCCAGAGCTGGATTAGCCATTAAGTGTTAGGGGGTCCTCTCCCATCTTGGCCCTGTGCCCCCTCACTTCACTGAGGGAGCGTTGTGGTCTGAGCCAGTATCTGGTACTCACCACTTTAAGAGTGCACTTGAGGTCCCCCCAATTTGAACGCCACACACAACATTCATCCAGTACACACAGAGACACTCCCTCTCACCACAGACAACACTCAGCCTCTGCACTCACATACACAACACACAGGAGGAGCCCCAATCTGGCTCACTGCCAAGGACCCTGGGCAATGTTTGTCCAGCTCCACAGCTCTGTGGTGAGGGATATTGTTACACAACCAGGCTAGTGTTACAGGATAGGTGAAATTCCCATACGGCACAGTTGCAACAAATTTCATCTCAACAGTGGGAAATGAAAGGGAAAAAAGATGTGTACTGAAAAGTAACACATATTTTAAAAAAGAACATTTTGTAAAGAACTTGAATATATAAAAAATAAACATGAACATTTTCAATGCTATTTGTTTTATTTCTATTGCAGCTTAAGCATGACAACCAGTTCCACATTGTTTGCATTGGGTATGATGCCGCTGTGTCTCTTCATTTACACCAAAAAATGGGTAGATTCTAACTCCATAGTAATTCCTTACAACAGCATAGGTAAGTACAATTAACTGTAGATTTTTTTTTAATGGTGCCTCAATCTTTGATGCTGTTTTGTATACATTGAAGTTAACATTTTAAATTAAAGGATCTTATTATTATATTCATTTTAAAGGACCCTTATAGTGTCAGGAAAACAAACTTGTTTTCCTGACACGATATGATCCTTAGGCCCCCCACCCTCAGGTCCCCCTCCTGCTGGGCTGAAGGGGTTAAAACCACAGGAAGACAGCCACAAGAGGCTGGATTAACCCTGCAATGTAAACATAGCAGTTTCTCTGAAACTGCTATGTTTGCCTCTGAAGGGTTAAAACCTGGGGGACCTGGCACCCAGACCACTTCATTGAGCTGAAGTGGTCTGGGTGACTATAGTGGTCCTTTAAATATATGCTATGAAGAAAGGTCAGACCATGACGAGAAGAGAATGTTTTGTTCACAGTTAACTTTATTAGTTTAACTTTATTATTTTACATCACTTCTCAAAGATGGAGCTATATAACGAGGAAGATAGTATAGTGCTCTGCAAGGAAACTTAGGGGCAGGAGGTATTTCCCCTTCCCTCCCCTCCTCCCCCCATGTACCTGTCAATAGGTGGTGCTGAGGAACAGAACTTACTGCACACCCCTCTGTTAAGGGACACTGTAATCTCTAAAACCATTTCATCTTCTTGAATTGGTTATAGTGCCTGGGGTCCACTGGCACTGTCCCTCTTTTCAATGTGAAACTATTTTAGATCACTTTAACACAAAATAATTGTCCCTGGCCCACAACAATTCAGCCCCTTTTGGAGGTGTAACTAAGGCAGAGATCCCTGTTGGGGACCAGACCGTATTGCGGATGGCATGGGCCCTTACAAGTAGTACAAATACCAGCTCTCAATCATCACAACAACAGCTGCACTGGGAGGAAGTGATGTCCATTTACTTGCCAGTGCTCAAAGGAGGCCATGGCACAGCTTGGATTCAGCTCCAGATCCACAGTGTAACTACCCTCCTGGCAAAAAGGAGAATGGCCAAATCATCTTAAAGTTGTGTATTTTTCTGTCTTATATTTGTGTCTGTGTGTCTGACTGTGTGTCTGTGCATGGCTTTAAGCATGTGTGTCTATGTTTGCCAGTGTATGTGTCTATCTGGTAGTGTGTATAGGTATCTGTGTGTGTGTCTGACATTAAATAGCCCTGTGTGTATGTCTGTCTGTCAGTTTGTATCTGGATATGTGTGTTTATCTGTGAGTGTATCTGGAATGTGTATGTGTGTATGGAGAGTGTGTGTGTGTGTGTGTGGTTTCTATGTATCAGTATGCATGTGTGTATGTGTGTATGTGTGTATGTGTAGGTTGGTGGGGCACCACCAGAGCACCTGGATTTGTAAAGAGCCCCAAGTGCTGATGAACATTTCCAGGATAGTCCCAATTTTGAGCTAATGCTGTTTCCTCCTGGGTTTTCTCTATTGTCCTGTTTTGGGAAATCCATGTTACCAATAGGTGTTGCACACAAGAGAATCTTTACACAAGCGAGTCACAGAGTCACTGACTCACCACATCCCTCCCTCCTTTCAAATCTCCCAGTTTCAGGAAGAGTGAACAAAGGTCTTTCAAATCATGAAACATGAAATAGAAACACACAGAAGGTTTTACAGGATAGGATAAAGTATTAAGCGCTGTGAGAATAGTTAAATACACATAAAAGAATATGCTTAATTATATGGGGGAAGAACGCCGAATACAATTTCTGCTCCTTTAAATAATACATGTGATAACACTAAACATTAGCACATCCAATAACCCAGTTAAACCATCAAGAAGCAGGTGCTTTGTAACTTGTTACATATTTACCAGACCTTATTGAGACACTACCTTTTCTTTGCCTCTTTAGAAACTCATTGACTTAAAATAAACTATGTAAAGCTGGGCTCTGTTGAAAATATGCAGTGTAATCACATAGCTCAGTCGTATTATTCAGGTAGTGATTTTTCTGAGGGCATTGTGCAATTGACTTTTTTTAAATGGTCGTAACAAATCAAGTCTTGGTGATAAATAGAATAGATAAAGGCATGTATTATTACAGCTGATTAATGTCATTTGGAGGTTATTGGATGTGGTAAATCAAGTGAAGTAGGAATAAGTAGTTTCCTCAAGCATACTGATTAGTTTGCTTCGAAGAAGCATAAACTATGTGAGTGAAACTTTATGAATACACCATTTTCTCACATTGTAGTTTAACGTAGAAACTGAGGATTATTTTGGGGCAAGAAAGGTGACATATATGAAGTGGTGAATATCTAATTATATATCTATTTCTTGTTTCTTCTGGGCGAATAGCAAATCAATTTATGGAGACCTGAGCAACCAGCTCTCCAGCTAATATAGATTATACAAGTCCCATGATGCTTTGTCACACTACATGTGAGCCGTCAGTCTACAAGAGTTAGGTCCACACCTAACCTAAACTATTACGGGGGTAGGGTATTTTTGTCATCATATTCCCAGTATTATGGTTCATTTATTATACACAAGCTGTATAAAAGCTAAATCAGTAATGATAATAATATTTCATTGTCTGATTAAAATACGCAATACTGAATTTAAAACTAAAATATGGAAAGAGCAGAGGCATTGCTGTGAGGCCAAAGGAGCATTCAGTCAAAGAGAAAATGTTGTGGCTTATTCGACCCTCTTATTCTGTGCTATTCAATACTCTGCTTCTTAAATGTTAAATCATTACATAAAAACATAATTTGTTGTTACATAACTGAGAGGATCAGTAGACGGAGTTACTGTAAAATCTGCATTTGGAGATGTAATTTCTCCCTCTGCTTATAACATTAAGAGCAAAATAGAACTTCCAGTTACAGATGTGCGGAGATATTCCTTGGGCTCCATCTTGGGTCAGCCCCGCCCAGCAACATTCATGGGAATTAGTCACTTTTATGGTATATTGAACACATATAGCTATAGTATGCAAAGTTTCTGCAGCAGCAATAATAAAGGAATTTGTATTATATTTATGTTTAATCACATTCTATATTTACTGTAAAATATATTATTAACTCCTCCATTCCATTTATTTAAGGGATTTCTTTGGCGACACTGGTCGTACCTGTTGGAGTTGGCATGTTCGTTAATTATAAGTGGCCCAGACAGGCAAAGATTATACTTAAGGTATTTCAGCATTCAATATATAATGTCCTCTAACAAAAAATCCAAGGAAATACAAGAAGCAGATGTATGTATTAAAATACTAAAGAGACAGTCCTGTAGAGCAAACAAAAATGTCAAAGTAGTTATATAATTAATAATTTCCATTTGTATTAAAATATTTCATACCTCACACCATTTAAAATAGACAAAGAGGGACACTTTAATTTTAGGAGTTGGAGTGGGGGGTGAAATTTTAGGTGGCTTACTAATAACAATTTATTCACCTAAACTGTAATTTACAACAATGTATTTTATTTATACAGACTGATTTCTAAACACATGTATTGTAGTTTAAAAACCCATTAGTGGGAGTATTATTGCTGTGGAGCACTGTGATACACTCAGATACGCCAACAATGTGGAGCTCATAGAAAATGAGGGACATTAAGATAGAAAAGAGATACAAATCTTTTTGGGCTCAAAGTAGGGATTTTCCTTCTTAAGTAGGGACACTTGGGAGGTATGATATGTATCAATGGCAGCAGGTGAGGTTTCAAGATGGTGGGGCACCAGACTCCACCCCCAGGTTTATACTCATCCTTATACGGTACAGAGGTATAATTCAGAGAGCTGAGCATAATACAGTAATGCTCATATAATAAGACAAGCTGGGCACAACATAAAGATATTCATGAAATACATAGAGCTGAGCACAATACAGTGATAAACATACAACAAACAGAGCTGAGAAAAATACAAATATAACACACAGACCTGGACACAATACACAGAGCTGGGTAGACTACAGAGAAACCCATATAAAATGTAGAGCTGAGTAAAATACAGAGAAATAACACACAGAAATAGGCACAATAAGGAGATATTCCCAAACATCCCTCACAGTCAGGATCACTGTGATGGATTGCAAAGAGATTTTCACACAGTATATGTCTCTATAAAATGGTTTAGTTTTACCTTTCTATTGAATATTGCTGTTGTTATTAAACATGTCAGCTACTCCATTCACCCTGAGCACACAGCGTGGACATTGTTAAAGCATCAAGATACTGATAAACTCTTACCATGTCAGCAAATCCTGACTCACTATTAGCTCTCAGCACACAGTTTACATTGGGGTAAAGCAGCAGAATACTGAGAGATTCCTTAGTACATTGCAGCTGACAATATAATTAATCTGCAGTGGTAATATTGAACCAAGAAGTAGCTGACATGGTTAATAGAATCAACAATCATTACAGATTTATAGATCAAATAGATTGAAATCAGAATCAGATCAATCCTCAGAGTCAGAGCCCAAGTCCTGCAGTTTGAAGCTTCAAACCTTTTCAACTAACCACGGCATTAGTGTCTCAGGTCTCCGCTGAATAGTGACTGAGCACTTTAAAGAAGAAACTCAGTATGTGCAGTAGTAGTTATTAAAACTATTAGTGACAGGCAGCACAATGCACCATGTCAGAACCTTCCCCCTTTGTCACCCTTGGCTTTATATGTTAACGATATATTTGAGTAAATCGCATTGCATAATCAGCCCTCAGGCAGTCACTAGGGCTATTGTGGGAGAGAAAAAGATATTATACATTTACATTTGTCTGTGCTGCTTCCAAGATGACTTCTTGCTTCGCTCTCCTGTAGCCACTGTAACCCTACCTTCTGGTACTATCAGCCAATGATGGTCCCTGAATAGAGAGGCCATAAGCATACCTAACATAATGGGCAGCTGGCTCTGCATGCACAAATGGTAACTCGATAGAAATTCTGGAAATTCCTTCTTAATGGACACTTGGCATGTGCAAAACCTGCTGAAACAGGACAGATTTCAAACCAGCCCCATTTTACATGCCTTGATACAGGTGCCAAAAAGATTGTGGTGAGGTTAAACACAATAAAACTCCCCACAGTGCAGTTGGAAAAAATACCTTGTGCATCACCTAAATATCTCAAGTTGGACAATATAAGGTACAGAAGCTCAAGAAAACATGTTTCAACAACTATCCATGAGTTCCTAGCTTGTAATGCAAATGAGCACAGATAGGCATTGTGTTTTAGACATCACATTGCATTTCTGCAGATACCCTTTGCAATGCCAATATTTAAAACACCTTTTTTTAAAGCATACTATGGGTTGTGGAAACATGTTTTCTCGAGTTTCTGTAAATAAGGAGGACTTTTCAAAGTCCCACTTGAGATACGCAGATGATGCAGAACCGTAATGTTCCTAATGTAGCCCATGGAGCAGCGTAGCTAAGGGGTGGGCCTTGACATTGCCAGGAGACAGGCCATCTAAAGGTCAGTGGTCAGGGATTGGTCATTGGAAATGGTGGGGTGGAGTTTTAAAGGGGAGTATAAGTAGCAGCCATTTTAGAACTAAGGATCACTTTAATCTAAGTTACACTCACCTGTTTGTTGTCCCACCCTCCCTTTGCTTTCAGGTGTTTCCCGTTTGGTCACGGCGGCGGGGGATGGAGAGTAAAGTTGGGGGGAGAAAAGAGTGAGATGGGGAAAAAGTTCAGGGCTAATAGGTGGGCCTTTGGACTGGTTTGGTAGGTTCGAGCTGGGGTGTGTATGGGGTGTCTCGGTATGCCCCTACACTTGTGGTGCCTTTGGTGGCAATGGATGTTGCCCTTCGGTGGCAATGGATGGTGCCCTTTGGTGGCAATGGTCATGTTTCATGTTAAATAAAATGTTCAATGTTTGGGTATTATGTTATGTGGGGGTGGGTCATTGTCAAGGGGTTAATTTGTAAAATGCAGGATGTTAATTGTGCAGGCCAACATTAGCCTGCTGTTGACAATGACCTTTAAATTTATGTTAATTACAAATAAAGCTGTGATATAATTTTGCCAAAACCATGGTGTCAGTGCTTTATTGGGGATTGGGTATTTGGTGGGGGTTGTTAAGCAGAGGCCGACAAGGCGACTGTGCCCATGTCAAGTTTTTTAAAAGGGTGCAATAAAACAACTGTTATATAGCTGTCAGATTAAGGTTCTGTCCAGTGCTATTTTACCTTTAATTTGGGAGACATTCACTTACCAAACAGTATATACTTAAACATTTCCTTATCAACACACAAGAATCAAATAGCACAAATATGATCAGATTATCTTGAAAACTTTATTATGTATTATTATTTATGGATTTTGGGTGTAATTTGTACTATATGTTTGCCTTGTAGATTGGTTCTATTACAGGAGGAATTCTTATAATAGCAGTTGCTGTTATCGGTGGAGTTCTTTACAAAGGATCTTGGGCGATCGAACCAAAGCTGTGGATAGTTGGAACTATATTTCCAATTGTGGGTTTTATAAATGGTTTTTTGTTGGCTTGCTTATCCAATCTATCATGGAGCAGGTAAGTTAATATATTGATGTGATGCAGAGTGCATAAATAGTAGTAGGACACATCTTTTCCCTATGTTTTGATTCCCTGTTGTAATTCACTGTCTATGCCCTTACTCACAAGGTGTATTGAAGTAGGAGTAAGAGAAAAAACAGGAATAGCAAGACATATTACCAATCCTTTATGTGACCAGGCTTAATGGAAGACATTTAAAGAGGTGAAAAAGCAGATTAGCATGGTTACAAAACAAGCCATATTCAGGATACCAGAAAGCTTCAGAATGATGAATGTGTCAGAACAGGGTAATGATAAATTCTATGTCCTAACCAGACAGAAACACACTTAAAGGAAAACTCCAGGCACCAAAACAACTTAATCTAAATGAAGTTGTTTTGGTGCTGGGAGACCCCTGGAGAGTGCCGCCTAAAGAGTCGCTGCTGAATGGTTGAGATTTAGCTTTCTAAAGTTTTATAAGCTCATGATTTAGTTGGGATATAGCTTTTATTCAGCTGTGTCAGAAGGTGGAATGTGCATACAAGGAAGGGATGTGACATAGCTAAACTCAGGCTGGTTTGGCTATAGAGAGAAGTGTGGTAGAAACAACCATTGGAATTATCATTGAAGCCTGCTTTTTGTGGATTGCAAATTCAGTATTCCTGAGCCCTTTTATCAGCTCTGCTTTTCTATGTTTTTTTTTTTTGTTTTTTTTTTTGTCCATCTGTGTGATTTATAAATTGGAAATAATTGTCACACTTAGCTGAAAGCAATGTCCCCACAAACAGCTTGCAATAAAATGCCAGCACGCTTAGGCTGCTAGCCAGGACATATGTGATTTTAGACCGTCTGTGTCTGATTTGTCATTTTTTCACTATATTACTATCTATACCTCACAGCTTAGTAAACACTTTCCTCTCCTAAGAAAAGAAAACACATTAAATATAGCATGATGTGGTTTGTGAGCAGAGAGTAAAACCAAATCTATTATAACATCTGGTTACTTTAACCCCTTAAGGACACATGCTATGTGTGACATGTCATGATTACCTTTTATTCCAGAAGTTTGGTCCTTAAGGGGTTAAATAAGTACAAAATATAGGATCTAGACTCAATGAAAAGCATCCAGTCCTTGTAAAAAAACACTATTGGGAGCTGTACAGTTTGAGAATATTCACCAACAGTTATTTGATCAATAGATAAGTACAGAGAAAAGAAATGTAATGCACTGTACTAAGGTCTAATGAGCATAAAGGTAGTCCAAGCTTAGATCAAGCCTTGTACCATGCCAGCCAGCAGTACCCTTTCAATGCACACAAAAAACATTTTGTAAGCTCTAAAGTCTATGTACACTTGGCAGAATGCCTGTCATTACAATTCAGTGTCGCAACTGACAGTGGCGATGCATATTAAAATTCAACCCTGGAAAAAGCCAACGAGAAAACAAGAAACAAATAGCATAACATTGTTTTAGCACTCCATAAGTCTCTCACATTAGCAAGGAAACCTGGAAATCAGTGGGAGTTCATTCATACAGTCATCTGGGGCACCACCCCTCCAGTTTTTATGTGGGGAAAAAATATTTGCAATAGTTTGGAAATACTAACATTCTTATTCTGGGTGTAGGGGTGGTAATCTAAAAAAAATGGGAAAAAAGGTAGATTAACATACTCCCGCAATTGCCTTCATGTGTTTCAAAATAAAAAAAGAATTGATGGTTGTATAGAAGAGTGAATTTTGGGGGGAAAAAGTGCACATGAAAAAAGCAAATATGAAAATTGCCTACAGAGAAAAGCCCACACAGAATAATAGTAATTTTCAAGTTAAAGGGACACTATAGTCACCCAAACCACTTCAGCTCAATGAAGTGGTCTGGGTGCCAGGTCCCTCAGATTTTAACCCTTCACATGTAAACTAGAGGCTGTCTTAACCCTGCAATGTAAACTGCTATGTTTACATTGCAGGGTTAAGACAGCCTCTAGTGGCTGTCTTCCTGACAGCCGCTAGAGGCACTTCTGAAATGCTGGATGGGAAATTCGCATCCAACGTGGAGAACGTCCATAGGAAAGCATTCCGCTCCACTCGGGAGCTGACGTCGGCGGGGGAGGAGAGGTCACCAGCGCCGAGGGAGCCGTCGCTGGATAAAGGTAACTTGCTGACACTATAGTGATCCTTTAAGGTGCCGATGTATGCAAATTAAAGTATCATACATATATATAATTGTAGATAACCATTTATCTCCCATATATGAACATGAATACTCATTGCCTATATATTATATTGTTATTGATAGCCTATGATTAAAATATTTTATAATCACATGCAACAACTTCCATTGTGATTTTATGGTGTATAATTAAATAATAATTTTGCTATAAGTATTAATTGTGAAACAAAAGTGGCCTGTGTATGAAGAGGGTTTTAATGCTCTTGAGTGTAAATGTTTGTAAGGGAAAATACAGGAAATAAAAGTGAACAGTTGTTTTTTTTTTTAAATCAATAAACATACTTTTAATTCCCATACCATATTCTCCTTCACCCTATTGACTAGTATCTCTGTCTGTCTATTACCCTATTGGTGAATTTCCCTTAGATCACATCTTTCTTTCTGTTGGTCTCTCTCCAATTCATTCTGACCTGTTTTGCCTTGGATTAGCTGACTGCTGTTTATTCCCTCCCCTTTATGGTGCAGAGCATTTACTGTCTCTCCTCCCCAATAAGCTGCTGGCAATTATGTTAACACTTTCATGCCAGATGTATATACATTTGATTTCTAAGTTATGTTATATATTGTTTACTTAAAATGATATTACTGGGGGGCAAAGCCTGACCATCATACAGAGCAGACGCATTAACCCGAGACTTCATGGAAAAATTATTTATGGTGTAATTAAGCTGTATTGCTGTTCAACTAGTGGGCCGACCGGGTCTAATCCTCGCCCTACTCGTAGGTACTCTCGTAGTGGCACAGATGGGGCTCCTTGGTCTCTCTCCCAGCAACAGCAATAACTGGTCCGTCTTGCGGCCTAGGTGGAGGCGTGGGCATGGATGAGGCAGCCAAACACCCAACCCAGGGCTCCCTAGATCCTTGACCTGAAGCTGCAGGGGACCATCTGTGAGCCCTCCTCTCCCCTTACCCCGCGCCGGCATTGGAGTTTGAGAAGTCTACCAAACTTGGGAATTGGCTGACTGTCTAGCCTCAACATGTGATAGCCTGATACCAGTGTGAAGTTTAGGGATTCTTGTGGCCACCACTTTTTTTTGTTTGCCTTTACCCGAGCCATATCATGCCTTGCTGTACCTTACCTCCCTCCTATTAATTACATGTAATAACCTTGTTCTAATATCATCGTGGACTAATTGCATTATTCTGTGTCCTGCTTCAAACCATAACTACTCTACTCTACTCTTGCTTAATCTACTATTCCAAAAATGTGCATGTTTTCTCAATATTCCTATCGTTATGCGTGAAGCTTGACATGAGGACTGCTGTTGGGGCACCTCAAATATGTTTGTGATATCTTTATGCACTGCAAAAATACAAAATTATTCTTTTATTTTTTTTAAATGATATTACTTTATTAATTATGTATTGGGAGAACTGCCTAACAACCGGTAAATTTCCAAAACATCATAAAATCTGTACAAGGGGGTACTATTTAGACACTGCTGAACACAAATATGAGTGTTTAAGAGCAGCAAAACATTTAATGATGATTATATCATAAGTGAAAGTGTAATTTTGCGTGGTTTTTGACTAATTGATTACTAAAAAAACTGAACGTGCCCCATTTTGAATAACCTGGGTTGTCTATTTTTTCAAATGGTTTGCCATAATGGGGATCATTTTCATTCTTGGCCTGCCATTTGGTCTCAAAGGCAATTTTTTATTTCTTTTTAAATATTTGTATTTTTATTAGCATTAATACACATAGCATATAGCTGTTTCATGTAGCTTAATATCACAGAATAGACATAACTCAAAATACTGGGTATGGGTGCAGTTCAACAAGTAACTCACTTAACTTAGAACAGTGTTTGATAGCTCATCAGATGCCTTACATATGGCAACAGGTAACTATAGATGTGGAATGGCTCTTGTGCCGAAGTCCCTTTAAGGCATGGAAGATAGCCTATGGATTATTCCCTCAGACAGTCTTTTGTTAGGTCTTGAGCTGCCCTCTCTGGGGTCAGTGGCCTCGGGTGATGCCTTCCTTTGGACTGTTGTTTCCGCTCCGGTCAGGGTTGGCATGTTTGAAGCCTTGAAGAATGGTACTGTATCTTTGCTGCATGTAAGGGTCTCCTCCCGCAGGAAACTACCAGGTATCCCCCTGCTCCCCAGCGGTATCTAATGGACAGGTCACAGGGCCTCCTAGCGACTGGAGCGAGCTTTCATTTCTCTAGGAGAACTGAGAATGGGAGATATAGTGTTGCACCCCTCGAGGTGCACTGTGCCTATGTCTCTGGAACGGTTTAGAATGGCAGACCTTGCCATAACATCTCTGGCGACTGTAATGATGTCTCTGGCAGCCCCGGCTGGTGCTATAGCCGACTTGCGAATGCAGAATGCTGAGAGGACATGTGTGATCTACCTGTGAGGCTCATTGAAGCAATCAGCCTCTGTACAAATGGGAACAATTCCCTCTCTCCAACCTCTTCGGGTATGCCCCTTATACATATATTCCGGTAGCTGGGCATGCCTCAGGGTCTCCCTCTCCTCCACCGCCTGTACCCTCCACTGTACCTTCCCTATCTCTGCTTGAGCCTGCCGGAGATCTGCCTTCCACTCCTGCCGCAGATCTGTTAGGAGCCTCTTGATGTAGCCTTTGGTGGACGGTGAGGAGTCATCATCTGATTCAGAGGATTGGTAAACTCCGCCTGGGCGAGGTGAGTCAGGGAGCTCCTCATCCTCATTTGAGTCCTCCGGGATGCCCCGAGCCCCGGGCGCCATCTTGGAGAGTGTTGGCTGTGCAGGTCTCTCGAATGAAAGCCTGATATCATGCAGTTTGTGCGTTTCTGGGCGCTGGTGCCACTTATTTTTTTGCCCCATAGCATCGGCTGGTAGAGGGGTGCTAAGTAGTCCTCAAAAAGCTGAGTTGATTCGGGTTTGTGTCTCTTTTTAGCAAGGCTGTATAGGAGCTATAGAGTATTGCGTCCGTGCGGTGTCTCAGCCAGCCACACTCCCCAATCTGGCAAATTTCAACGTGTAAAAAACGGAAATTAGCAAGCTCTTTATTTGATCCTGTAGGTTTCTAAAACACCATGAAACCTGTACATGTGGGGCATTGTTGTATCCTTAAGACTTTACAGCATACAAATATGTGTGTTTTATTTCAGTAAAGGCTAAGAGTACCATAACATTTACACTTAAAATGTCATGTAGACATAGACAAATTTCTTAATTTCTCACATCTTTTTAGGTTTTATGCATATTAAATTATATTTCATATATAAATATAAGATGTGAAATGAAAGCCCTGTTCCTCCTGAATAAAACTATATAATAAGTGTTGGTACACTTAATATGAAAGAGGTACATTATAGTTGAACAGATATATAGCTCAAAGTCTAGGTTTTGTTTTGGTCAGAACTTGTACAGTTGCTTCCACCTTATAGTGTTGTAGCCCTCTTCATACACAGGCCACGTTTGTGTTGCAATGAATAAGTATACTTATAACATAGCAACATTATTATAACTTGATAATATATGTATGGTACATTAACTTGTGCATGCATCCTTTACTTGAAAATGACTATATGTTCATATTATTCACAGTGGGCATTTTGCTTTTTGGGCTTTATTTCTGTGTGGGTATTTTCCAGTGTGCAATGTTCAGTTTGAGCAATTTTTAATGTGGAAAATTTTTAGTGTGAGCAATTTTCTATGTGGGCATTTTTCTTGTGCGTATTTATGACAGTGAGGTTATTTCTGTGGGTAAGTTTCATGTGGCCTATTTTCATGAGCGCTTTTCTCTGGTCACCTTTGAGAGTAACTAGTCATGTCACAAAAATAGGACATACCTAAAATCTGTCCCGTTTCAGCAGGTTTTGCACATGCCTAGTGTTCTTTTAAAATAAATTTCAGTCTCCCATGTCACAGTGGCTGCTAGACATTAACTGGCTCTATACTGGAAAACTACCATATGCCCAACATAAATACAGTTGTGAGAGAAACTTGGCCTCAATTATGCATATGAATGACTGTGCTTCAAATGTGACAAATGTCACTACTCAGGCAGTCCTGGTGCCATCTAACCAAGGGATCTGCTCCAGCACCTTCTTAGAACAGATGGAGATTACCATGTTTCAATTGCCTGGGAGGGTGGAAACATCTCACTACCGTGCAAAATAATTACAAATTCCAAAACTCCAAAACCTCCTTTTTTGGAGTTTTGGAATTTGTAATTAATTTGTACTTTGAATTTTATTCTCATTTCCATGAGGGAAGTTATGCTATTGGCCTCTCTATTCTCGATCATTGGCTGATAGCACCAGGGGTGAGGATTCAGTGCCCACAGGAGAGAGAAGCAAGAAGCCATCTTCAAAGCTGCATTGGGAATCCTCTGAATTTGTGTCCAGGTGCACGCACGCACGCACATCTGGTCTGAGGTCTGTGTGGGAGGAGGCAGGTACGCTAAAGTACCTCAAGGGAGCTAACGGATTGATTAATAGCCAGGAGGGTGTCCAATAGTTCTTTTATAAAAGTTCAGATTTCTCACAGAAATCAGCATTTTTTTAACTTGGGTGTTAAACGCGGATACTCCTCATCCTCACCCATTAGGTGGTCCTTTAAATATACCCAAGCTTTAACCATAGCCCTTGTTCTTAACATTAAAAAGAACAATTTTTTTAAATATATTTTAATTTTTATTTCATTTTTCTTTTTTCCCCCAAGTTACAAAGAAATATGCACACAAAAAATAAATAATATACAAAATGTAGAATAGTATATTGCCACATTATACATCATACATCCTACGATCTATTCTGCCTTATCACCTTCAGTAGCAATTTAATGTCCTTTTTATATTTTAAGATCAGCATTAATCCCTTATATTAAATAAACATTTATTTCTTATACATTCTAATACAACTTATACATATCCTGAATCTTATTTAGTTGAATTTTAGTCATTCCTGCCCTATCTATATATTGAACAAACTATTGTTTATTTTGGTTTTAATCAGAATATGTGCAGAGCAAAAAACAGACAGCTTTGATCTAGTGAGTTGATAAATTAATTAACATAACAGAAAAAAAGAGACACAAAAGTTACTGTAGTAATAATTTCTTCTATGTATGTACAGTTCCAATTTAATTTATGGTAGTTCCAACCAAACGTCTATATTAATCATCTTCCACTACTAGGATCTCTATCGATTTGAAAGCTTATATCATTTTGTTTTATACCACCCACTTTAGTTTATATTAGCTATCTATATTTATATATATCTGTCTTATTGATTTCCCATCACTTCCTTCTAAATCCCCCATTTCCACCTTGCCCAGATTTTTTCAAAGATATCTTGTTTGCTTTTTATCCTGTATGCCATCTCCTCGTAAGTTTTAGTGATAGAGATCTTTTCCCTTATGCATATGCCCAACAAGAGCTCTAATTCTAGCAAACCATGCAATATAAAGAAATAAAAACAATAGTTAAGCATTTATCATGATGTTTCAAGAAACCCTGCTAATCGCATTACTTTCCCATAACCCATAGTTCATGGTTCTCCTATATATATATATATACAATAAAATATGTATTTACAGGGAGTGCAGAATTATTAGGCAAATGAATATTTTGACCACATCATCCTCTTTATGCATGTTGTCTTACTCCAAGCTGTATAGGCTCGAAAGCCTACTACCAATTAAGCATATTAGGTGATGTGCATCTCTGTAATGAGAAGGGGTGTGGTCTAATGACATCAACACCCTATATCAGGTGTGCATAATTATTAGGCAACTTCCTTTCCTTTGGCAAAATGGGTCAAAAGAAGGACTTGACAGGCTCAGAAAAGTCAAAAATAGTGAGATATCTTGCAGAGGGATGCAGCACTCTTAAAATTGCAAAGCTTCTGAAGCGTGATCATCGAACAATCAAGCGTTTCATTCAAAATAGTCAACAGGGTCGCAAGAAGCGTGTGGAAAAACCAAGGCGCAAAATAACTGCCCATGAACTGAGAAAAGTCAAGCGTGCAGCTGCCACGATGCCACTTGCCACCAGTTTGGCCATATTTCAGAGCTGCAACATCACTGGAGTGCCCAAAAGCACAAGGTGTGCAATACTCAGAGACATGGCCAAGGTAAGAAAGGCTGAAAGACGACCACCACTGAACAAGACACACAAGCTGAAACGTCAAGACTGGGCCAAGAAATATCTCAAGACTGATTTTTCTAAGGTTTTATGGACTGATGAAATGAGAGTGAGTCTTGATGGGCCAGATGGATGGGCCCATGGCTGGATTGGTAAAGGGCAGAGAGCTCCAGTCCGACTCAGACGCCAGCAAGGTGGAGGTGGAGTACTGGTTTGGGCTGGTATCATCAAAGATGAGCTTGTGGGGCCTTTTCGGGTTGAGGATGGAGTCAAGCTCAACTCCCAGTCCTACTGCCAGTTCCTGGAAGACACCTTCTTCAAGCAGTGGTACAGGAAGAAGTCTGCATCCTTCAAGAAAAACATGATTTTCATGCAGGACAATGCTCCATCACACGCGTCCAAGTACTCCACAACGTGGCTGGCAAGAAAGGGTATAAAAGAAGAAAATCTAATGACATGGCCTCCTTGTTCACCTGATCTGAACCCCATTGAGAACCTGTGGTCCATCATCAAATGTGAGATTTACAAGGAGGGAAAACAGTACACCTCTCTGAACAGTGTCTGGGAGGCTGTGGTTGCTGCTGCACGCAATGTTGATGGTGAACAGATCAAAACACTGACAGAATCCATGGATGGCAGGCTTTTGAGTGTCCTTGCAAAGAAAGGTGGCTATATTGGTCACTGATTTGTTTTTGTTTTGTTTTGGAATGTCAGAAATGTATATTTGTGAATGTTGAGATGTTATATTGGTTTCACTGGTAATAATAAATAATTGAAATGGGTATATATTTGTTTTTGGTTAAGTTGCCTAATAATTATGCACAGTAATAGTCACCTGCACACACAGATATCCCCCTAACATAGCTATAACTAAAAACAAACTAAAAACTACTTCCAAAAATATTCAGCTTTGATATTAATGAGTTTTTTGGGTTCATTGAGAACATGGTTGTTGTTCAATAATAAAATTAATCCTCAAAAATACAACTTGCCTAATAATTCTGCACTCCCTGTAGTTTTTCATTATTTTCTCATTTGCACCAATTTTTTGTTCTTTTTAATTTTGTTCACTTTGTTTTGCACAAACTCACTTTAGAAGTTCATTGCCATATTTATATGGCGTAAAATATAATTAGGAATAAAGAATCATGTTAAAAATTCTACATTTTAGAAATGTCAAGCCATAAATAGAACCAATTTTTCAAAGTCAGTGCATTCCCTTTGACAAGGATAAATTCAAACAACAATAGACCTAAATTCTGCCAAGTTCCAGTTTAGACAAATGTACTAAGTGTTGTAACAATAGTGAACACAGCAGTTGATATTTAGTACATGGTGTAAGAAAAAGCATATAAAGAATATATTTTTTTCATCTTAACAGATGCCGAACAGTGTGCCTGGAAACAGGTATGCAGAATACACAGCTATGTTCAACAATAGTCCAGCTCTCATTTCCACCTGAGCAACTTGCCAAGGTTTTCACTTTCCCGCTGATCTACAGTATTTTCCAGATCCTGTTAGCCATACTGTTTATGGCAGGTGAGTCAATTTGTAAAAGTGATTTTTACATTTAACTATATAAATTTAAAAATGATATGCAAGTGTGGCCACTGACTTGCATACACCCCATAGAGGGACAAAAATTAGGTGCTCACTATATGCTTTAAGGCAGCATTAAATCTTACAAGGATTCCCCAAAACCTTGTAGGAATAAAGACAGAAGACAAGTACAAAAAATAGATAACAGCGCCTTAGAACACATTAATGTACAAAAGTGAAGTCAAATATAAATCATATGTACGTACCTTTGTTAAAAGTCTATGAAGTCTTTGGCTGTTATACAGTGCAAGACATCACAAAGAAAAGGAAAAAGAGATGCAATAATAGTGCAATATGTCTTTAACACGGTGAAGTAGAGAACCTGCATTTTAATAAATAACTGCAGCTCCCATGCACATACCCATAAGCAGAATATTTGCCCATTTACATTTCTACTTCATGCTATATCTACTGTGACTTCTAACAGGAGAAGAACCAGAATCATCCTGAATAGTATTGCAAGAAAGGGGACAGAATACAAGTTGCAATATACTTTTGTATTTTTTTGCCAACAATTAAAGGACCACTATAGGCACCCAGACCACTTCAGCTTAATGAAGTGGTCTGGGTGCCAGGTCCATCTAGGATTAATCCTTTCTGCTGTAAACATAGCAGTTTCTGAGAAACTGCTATGTTTACACTAGGGTTAATCCAGCCTCTAGTGGCTGTGTCATTGACAGCCGCTAGAGGCGCTTCTCACTGTGATTTTCACAGTGAGAAGACGCCAGCGTCCATAGGAAAGCATTAAAAAATGTTTTCCTATGGACTGGCTTAATGCGCGCGCGGCTCTTGCCGCACATGCGCATTCAGCCGATGACATGAGAAGAGGGAGGAGAGTCCCAACACCGAGCCCAGCGCTGAAAAAAAATGTAAGGGATTAACCCCTTCCTCCCCCTTCAGCGCAGCGGGAGTGAGACCCTGAGGGTGGGGGCACCCTCAGGGCACTATAGTGGTCCTTTAAGAATGAACGTTTAAGAAAAATAGTAAAGAAAGATATTGAACTGTGCATATTTTATAATTTAAAGCTTAAAAAATATCTATATCAGAACATTGTTATTCAATAGATTTATACACTGGTTATTCCCAATTATTATCCTAGGTATTAATAAATATGCTTATTTATGTTTTATAACTTTGCTTAAATTCAGGCATCTGTGCCACACCTAATGTAATTTAAGATATTTTGCACAGAGTATTTGTAGAAATGCACGTTACTGGTCTTTTTGTTTACTGTGCAGCCACTAGTCTGTAGTATAAAGGAAATTAAAGGGACACTATAGTCACCAAAACAACTTTAGCTTAGTGAAGCATTTTTGTGTATAGATCATGCCTGGCATTTTACTGCTCAATTTACTGCCATTTCAGAGTTAAATCGTTTTTGTTTCTGTGCAGCCCTAGACACACCTTCTCTGGCTGTGACTGACACAGTCTGCATGAAAACAAAATGTTTTCATTTTAAATCAGATGTAACTTACTTTAAAAGTTTTTATCTCATGCTCTGTAGTTTGACCTTTAATTGCATACAGAAGGCTTCTGTCAGGTCTAGCAAGCTATTAATGGAGCATAAGATAAAAAAAATTCTAAACTAAACAGACTGTACAATAAAGGAAGTGTAAACATTAGATGACTCTTTATAGGAAGTGTTTAGGAAGGCTGTGTAAGTCACATGCAGGGAGGTGTGATTTAACTTCACAAATTGAACAGCGACACTGCAGGGACATGATCTACACACCAAAACTGCTTCATTAAGCTGAAGTTGTTTTGGTGATTATAGTGTCACTTTAACGCAGTAAATCGTTGGGAATATATGCCATAAAATACAGAGCAGTTATTTGCCTACTTGTAAGCAAAACTTTGTTTATTACCAGTTAGATAAATAATCTGTGTGTCATGTATATTTGCTCATTATCTTCAACCTTCATGTAACACTCTACAACAGATTTTTCTGCATTAATTGTTTTGATTCAGAATATCACATAAAGACATATTAGATGTGCAATGTCATAAAATAGAAAAAACCCAGGATTTTGCTTTGAATCTGCACTTTAAACCTTATATATATTACAATATAGAAAATGTATTGTTTGTGAGCATTTGTGAGTCATACAGCATAAACATAGCACAGCTATCCCATTTTGTGTTTTGTATATTATGTCCTCACAGCCAGCAAGCCTGTATATGAATAGGCAAGGTCATAACCGCACTTGATAGGGATTTCTGTACTTAAGTTAAAAGCTTTCTGATTTTACAAATGAATAAGTTGAAAATGGAAATTTACAGCAAATATTTTTCTTACAGGTTACCGAATAGTCAAGTGTTTTTGTTTGAAACAAGAAGAAAAGGACACTGAGTCACCATATGCAATATCAAACGAGGGATTTGAATCCAAAGAGAAAGCCAATGAGCTGTCTTTGACCAATGGAAACCTTAAGGCATAAGTAGTTCTGAAGGCTTCTTAAACTAATATATCATTGTTTAGAAGCGAAGGATAAAATTCTTCATTCTACAACATTTTGTAACTCTGTTTCGGAATCTTGTCAATCAAAGCATTTATAGTGAAAGGTAAATTTAATTTGTATTGAGATGGTGGACAGCAATTAGCTGTAGGTTTATCAACAAAACTAGTACTTTAATCAGAAGCACATTAAACACATGAATGCCTCCAAAGTCATTATCGTCATTGACCTAATTACATAATTTCATGGTTAATATTGATAAGAATGTGTCTGCAAACAACCTATATATTGTATATGTAATGTAGCACTTTAAAGCATAGCATTGATGAATATTTGTTTGACAATATCTGAAAGAGTAAAATGGGTTATTTCGACCTCCAACTTTAAAATTAGCCGAATTATAGTGAAAGGAGACAGAGAAAATACTGTATTGAGTATGGAAGCATACATCAGCTAAGGAATCTGGCTAAGGAAGGAAATGAACAAAAAGATAAGCTTATTTTGCCATACTTTTTTTTCCCCCTTCAGTTTATAGGGCAGTCCTTCTAAAGGTTAAAGTAATTTAAGGATGTCTGCAAAAAAAAAACCACAATCTAGGACACTCCATAATAAGTGTAAGTAATAAGGGACCACATGCATAACCCCTTAAAGAGACACTCCTTTGCCCAGATGCATAAAAATCTCTTTTTAGATACACCCCAAATGAATATAAGCACGCATATAACATTTTTTAAATTGGGTATATATATATAAAATCAGCTGACAAAAGCTGTAGTTCTCGTCTGCTGCCTTTGCAAGCCCTCCTCTTTTAACCCAGCCCAGACTCTCTGTGGCTATCCAATCACAGATGTCCCAATGCATCTCAATTAAAAGTCTTTGCAAGGCAGGTGTTCATAAAAATTGCTGCCTCTGAGTTTGGCTCCACTGAGCTAACCAAACCAGGAAGTAAAAGAGCCTGTTGTTGCTCGCAAGCCTGTGGGGTGTAACAAGGTTTATTTATAAAAGTGTACATTTCTACTGAAATCTTCACTTTTTGTGTAAAAAAAAAAAAAATGGCACACTCTTCAAACAAAGTATTTAAGCAAACCAAAGTGCTTTAGAAGTCTGGAGTGTTCCTTTAAGGATCACCATCAGGGCTCTAAAAATATCTGTCCTAGTATGGAATGTCCTGAATATTTTGTGTTTATGGCTCTACGTGGCCCTGCATTTGTTAAATGAGTGAGATTATATTTTGATGTGGGAATCTTTCAAACCTGGTTTGTTATTACATATTATATCATTGGTCTTCATGGAGTTTTAGAAATTTTGAATTTCTAGCATGTACTAGCAGAGGATATAACATTAGTACATGTTCACATATATGCATTGGCATTTATTGTAGAACAGGTCAGCTTTTTTTTTTTGCCATGATTTACATTCATGCACATATCCAGGAAGAATAGGAAGGCTGGGATATGGAATAAATGGAAATCCACAGTAAATTATATTTTCCCTAATGTATATGGCAGTACAATCATGTGCTTTAGTAATCTACTTTATGTTGGGAGTGATTACATGGTGACTCCGTAATTTAAGTTTAAAATAAGACCCAGTACAAAGGAGTCAGCCCTTCACACATTCCAGTTTCTGCATGTACCTTCAATACGGCAAAATGCTTAAAAAAAGAACATATTGACAAATTGCAGTTTTTATTGTCTATATTAAATCCCATCTGCCATACACCATCCAGAATTATTGTGCATAAAATGTTAGTTTCCTTAAAATAATAAAAACAATAGTCTTGATATTTTAGACTTGAAGTTTTCATGAGTTTATATCTTCTGACCCTATGGATTTATGCACCTATACATTATTTAATTGCATCAGGACTTTGTCTTGTGTCAGCCAATCTTGTTATATTTTATTAAGATTAAATGACAAATCTGCATCAATTCCTCACTGAAATATGAAGATCCAGAAGCAATATTTATGTCTTGCACAAATAATCATATACAGATAAAAGTAACGGCTAACACTGTGCCTCGTACAAATGATGAGTCTTTCTAAAAGAGCTTTCTGCATTCGTTAATTCTGAAGAATAAATCATATGAAAAGTTGTTTAGTCAATCTGGCAATGGCCCCATTCAATTTACAAATGTGATCCAGACTGCTACTTCATCATCCTTTAAATCAGGGGTGGGGAATCTTCGGCCCTTCAGATTTTTGGACTACATCTCCTATAATGCTCGTACAGCCAAAATGCTGGCAAAGCATCAAGGGAGATGTAGTCCACAACATTTGAAGGGCCAAAGGTTCCCCACCCCTGATTTAAATGATAAAAGCCTTTGAATTTTCGGTATACCAATAATTCTTTATAGACTTCTTACTTCTGTCTCATCAATTCCTTAAAAATCTTATATACTTGAAAAGCGTTTAATTTCCTTCCCAAGGATGGCAAATTATACTTGGGATTTCATTTTGTGTCACTTTTCATTACTAGTCTCATTCTCTTTATAAATATGCGCACTTTTCCCCCTAAGAAACACAGCCAAGATAGCCTCTATTTCTATTTCAGTATCTGAATTGTCTGTTCTAACCTCCTACTTTGTACTGACAGTTTTTCTGCACTGAAGACTTTGAAAGGGTTTTCAGAAATAAACTAGTTTGTGCAAAGGTTATCCAATGCAGTCTACGCAGATTTTCTACTTTTAGCATTTTCAGGCATTGGTTGTTAAATAGTATACATAATTGTTTATGCGTTTGTCAGATTAAATGTTTTGATTTGGTGGTTTCCTTTTCTTTTGGTTCGGAAGAGGAAAACAATCAGGTGTTTCTAGCACTTTTTGTATGTAAATATAAGTATGTTGCATTTAAAAAAATATGACAAGAGGTTATATTATAACTGCAGTTTCACCCCCTTTAGTGAAGTCTGGATATTTTGAAACATAGGTGTGAAACAAAAAGCCCATTATTAGTTATAGAACCCCCACTCTCCATTCATATGGATTCTTCAGATTTGAGGGTTGCCATTGGACCACAGCATCAGGTGTACAGTTGTTCCAATTTAAAGTGCTTGTTGTTTCTCAAACATTTTGTATCTATAGATTTATAGTGTTGAACAGGGCATGATGTCTCAATGAGCAGTGCCCCACCATCTTTAAACTTCACCAGCAACCACAGGTTAAGACTATATTAAAAGTGATCTAAGACAATAGTAACAACATTGCTATAGGATCGATAGATTTAAACATGTGGTTTAGTGCAGGGCTCAACAAATCCCAGGCACCAGGATGCCATGGAGACTTGGAATTTTGCCATGGCACCTGGAATTTGCCAGCCCAGGGAGCATGGTGTGGGTCAGGCCGGTCGGTCCAGGCAGAATATGGACACGCACGCAATAATCTGTAGGATTATTGCCATGCTTGTTAAAGTGGAAAAATTAAGTTTCCCAGGTTAAAAAGCATAGCAATAATCTTACAGATACTATATAAAAATATATTTTTTTAAATACATATATAATTTTTTTTTTTTTCCCAATTAGGGACTAACTACCTTTCTAACACCATCTGTTTAAGGATATATCTCATGGGCAGCATCTGGAATGTAGTAATTTACTATCACCAGATGCCTCTGATTTATACTTCCTAATTAGACCTGACGTTGATTGTTAAGAGAAATCCAATGGGATGATGACAAGATGAATTTATTTAAAAACTGCTTGAGAGCTTTCAAATGCTACACAGTATTACTTTCTGGTTACATAGATAAAACTATCTGTCAGACAGCTTGCATTTATGCAGACTTCTTCTAAATTCAGACCAAACTGACATACCGAGAAGCTCAGGGAACCCACTATCCACTTGGCATTTAAAATGACAACAACATCAAGTCAAGACATTCAAGTACATTTTAATATATTTACATGTGGAGTATTTCTTTCAATTTTGTTAATTACATGACCAAACATTGTGACAAGTTGACTCTTAGTGGATAACTTATAGTGGATTTATGAATCTAATTATGAATCTTTTTCTGTGTATAATAAAAATTGAGCCTACAAATGAAAAAAAAAAATACATTAAGTGTAAGTCTCAAAAATAATGACTTTTTTTCTAAAACATGGTAGATTATTACACGGTTTACACAGAGTATTAAATCTGATTGCCATGTTTATTTCCTTCTGCTGACCTAGTTCTTTTTATATTGTCTTGTTCTACCAATATGTCATCAAACCAGAATGATGAAAACGATAAACTTAAACATTAAATACATTTTTATTAAAAAGAAATATATATATGAAAAAATAAAAACTGTATTAGTGCACTGTTTATTTGGGTAGGATCTAACATTTGCATCAATGAATGCATCCACCAACACAAACAAACACTATTCCTCAACTATGATTATAACAAAATAGGCAATATTAAATAAAGACTATACAGGCATGTTTTAGACGTTATCTAGTTATAATTATAAGGTGACTATTGATTAGTAATGGGGAAAAAAGACAAGTACTTTGTGTTTATAAACTTGGTTTGCATTACAATATTTTATTATAAAATTCTTCACTAAATGGGACATTTTATAAACGCATTTGGAAGGATTGTATGCAATTTATGTGCTATAAAAATAAAAATGGAAAACCCAGCTAATGCTACCTCAGGCTAATATATTCTTGTTTAATTATTTGCTAACCTCTTAAACAGTAATATTATTTAGAGTATTTTAACTATGTACATGTGAACATATTGTATGTATCTGCAATAACATTATTTATTGTTGGTTTATTATGTGGTCCTTTTTCTTTGCAAATTGTATACATGAAATAAAGTCAATACATTTTCTCAAAACTCAATTTCCCTTTAAGTCACTAAATATTAAATTTTCTATGCTTACAATACATAGACCATATAAACATAATACCGGCTCTGGTAAACTTCTCTGACAAGCATGATAAAATTGTAATGTAGCCAGTAGGAAAATGTGATATAATTTCTCTGCAAGAGAAAAAACTACCATTGGTGAATGGCACACAACCAGTCTTGCCCTGTGGATATTCTCTCCCCCTCCCTATGCTAGTCCCTTTTATATTTAGTTATATGATTTATAGCATTTTTTTTTTTTGACAATCTTATTTTAATTTTTATCCTTTTGTCACCGAAAGGTTTAAATGCGGTAAAATATCAATTGTAACATCATATTTCTGAATAGCATAACAACATTCTCCAATCAGGCTTCTCCAACAATATTTCAATAGTTTCCATCACATGCATTAGATAGTGTAACTTATGATCAGGTTTCGAGGCTCATAGCTCCTCTTGCCTACATTGCGCAGTTTGCTGCACTTATGGTGTGCACTCTATGTTTAGGGTGTGATCCGGTATCTGCTCGAGTAGCTGTAGGGGATATTTTGACAATCTTTATATTTTTTGTTTTTTTTCCCAACAGATAATGTAACATTAGTCAGTCTGGGCACGAACATTTGGTCTAAAAGAACAATTTTGCGCAGACAAGGTTTTACTCTCGCTACCCGATAGACCCGTCCTTGGGTTTCTGTTGTTATACCCTCGAGCAATCGTGGCTAATGCCTGCAGTTACATTGCGCTTGTGCGTAGCTAGGTCGGAATCCCGGGTCCTTACGGCGATTGCCGCCTCGGGCTCCTACTGAATTAGACTGCGATTCTAGCTGTCTGTGTCTGGTACTCTGTCCCTGGGGTACTTCCCTAGCGTTTATCGTAGCCATCTACGGTTGTCTCTTAGGTGCACTGCGCTACTTGGGGTGCAAAACTAACAATTGGACACGGTTATCTCATACCCGGTTTCCCGGTACGGGCCTGTCGTCATATGGTGTGCCTTCCCCTCTGCGAACTGCGGTGCTAAGTGACTTGCCGGTCATATGGGAGGTTACCTGTGCCTCCCTGATATGTGGGGAGCTTCTGTTCTACTTAGTAGCCATCGGCCATCTGCAGGTGCAGTGTTCGGGGTTATTTGCGTGTGCTTTGGGGTCTTACTGTTTACCGGGAGTCGAGTGATCCCGTGTCGCAAACCTGTCTGTCCATCCGGCTGATTTAAGGTGTCCGTCCAGGATTACTCCAGGTCCCGGTGGTGTGTGTAATTTGTTCAAGCGGGTGTTATGTCTTCCAGTTGTCAGTTTTGGTCGGGGGGGGTGGGAACTGTCAGTCGTCTGTGTGTGGTTAATGGGTAGGGCGTGTCTGTGCCTATGAGGGGTAAGGCAGTTGTCGTGATGTTCTGTGAGTTTCAGCTATATTGGCTCGGGGGTCACAGTTCCATTAGCCACATATGTGGTCCATGGGTACCAGGTCAATGCACACCGCTCCGGTCTCCCGTGGAGGTCGGCCGTCAGGGTCTCCATTGAGTATATGTCCTCTACCGCCGACACCCAATGCCCCAAGGTGGGCGCTCTTGGCTGTTTCCACATCCTCGGGATGAGGGATTTGGCGGCATTGAGTAGCGGCAGCTCCAGGGATTTTTTTGTATGCTGTCAGTGGGCTTCGGGTGTGGTGCAAAAGCATCGTTAAGGGTGCCAGGGGGATATCGGTGCCTGTAATTTTGTTGACCTCTCCCCTAATTTGTTCCCAGAAAGGGGCAATTACTGGGCATGACCACCACATGTGGATATACGTGCCAGGTTGTGTGCCACATCGCCAGCACATGCCTGACGTGGTACCGTGCATGTGGTGCAGTGTGTCGGGCGTTCTATACCAGCGTGTTAGCACTTTATAGTTTAATTCCTGATATTTTGAGCTAATAGAGCATTTGTGCGTGAGGGTGTAAATCTTGTCCCATTCGTGTGCAGTGAGTGTCTCTCCCGCATCCCTCTCCCAGTGGTCCTTGAACCTAAGCTCCACGTCCCCTGTTCGTCCGAGTCGTGAGTAGAGTGTACAGGGTTGAGATTCCCCTGGTGATGTGTGTGCGTTGCACACATAGGGTTGATTTATAGCATTTTAATTATTGTTTCTCGGTTTTAAAATATGACTAACCGCCCCTTCTCTTTCTATAAAATTGAATTAACCACTGGATTACTTATGTCATATTTGTACAAAAAAAATGTTATGTCTTAATGGAGCGCCTCAATTTTATCTGTGCACCTTTTCTGTGAATATATGACCTGTCATAGTTAGATATAGTAAAAATAAAAAAAATAGCACTTACCTGCCTGCTAATATGCACAGTACATAACTAAACATTACAAAAAAATCTTGAAGAAGAAAAAACAAAAAAAAAAGTAAAATGTGCCAGGTGTAGACAGAAAGTCATGATCTTTTTCCCCTTCACAACTTATCAAGCTAACTTGAAATATCAAAAACTGGCCAAAGAGGCCTAAACAGGGGACTGGTCACATTCACATATAATAATAATAAAGTATAGCTATACCTCAGTATGAAGTATCCCGATTAGCACATGTGCTTGTTTGGGAATAATTCCATCATGTATGTTTTATACTAGAATAGGATACTCACATGAAACATGGGGGTCCCCACAGTGAACTATTAGCTCTATTACTATTACGTAATATATCACGTTTGCAAGTGCACACAATTTTTCCCACTTTTGGGAATAACAGGGTTAGTAATATACACCAAAATTGTGTTTACGTGAGTGTATAGCTGTAGCTACACAAAGATGAAGAAAAAGGGGGGGGGAAATGCTTTACCTACACAACACATTGAAAGGTCTTTAGAAACTGTATAGTCGGCACAGGAAAAAAAGAGCAGTGATATCCTGGTGGTCTTGGGTGGTAGCAAATTAATCGGGAGATGACTAGCAACTGCATGTTTGACCCACATAGTTTTAAAAATACAGACCTGAATGAAAAAAATAAATCTTTATATATTAAAAAAAAAAAAAAAATAGCTGGTGAAAATTTTGCGCCTGATATTATAATAGGGTTTCAGGACATTTTTTGTAATGCATTTGTCATACACTTGGTGATATAGATCACGTCATACCTGGCCATGTGATCACTGATGTCTGTTAGTCACGTGCAATATAATAAGATAAAGGGAACGAGAGAAATAAAGCTACCCGCTCAGCTGTTCGTTTTAAAAGAGAGTTAAACTTAGTTAGAAGAATCTAAAATATTGTGTTTTCTTACTGCTGCATTTCTAAAGGACTGTACTACAAAAAAACCTTGACTGTTGGCTTAATAGGTTTATTGCCAGTAAATCTTGTTTCTTCTTTGCCATAAAAACAGGTTGTTCTCTCAGTGCTGTTCTACATAGACCATTCTACATAATTGAAATCCATAACAAGAAGTTCTTAACCTTTCTTTAATGCATGTGAATATACTTATTGGGGGGAAAAAATAAAATAAAAAAATACCCTGTTCTCTTATAATACATCCAAGGGGTACCTGTGCAAGATAATTTCCTTTTCTAAATAACCATTTTATTTATTGACCCACTAGATGTAAAGGAGTACTGCATACCCAATATTCCCCAACTTTAAAAACAAAAAGTTTAAAAATGTTGCTCTATGGCAATGGTGTATGTTTCCATATGTGTGGATCTACAGCAGGACACGACAAATCCCAGACAGAAGGTCGTCATTGCAACTAGGAACTTTGTCCTGACACCTGGTTGTCTGTCAGCCCAGGTCATCTTTGGGGTCCCCTGAGACGAGTGGCTGTGAGCAATGGAGGAGGGTCAATTTCCTGCTCCACTGCATGCCCTGCTGTGATGCAGAGAGCTGGAATAGGACGTCAGTCTGGCCCTGGCATCACTAAACAGTGAGCAAAGGAGCAGAGGACGAAAAAGCAGATAGATGACAGCAGCCACAGTGAACCCAAGCTCTCCCAAATGAAGGGAGACTGGACGTAAATTGAATACAAAACTATTTGTGAGTGTGTGAGAAAATGTGTGTGTGTTTAGGTGACTAGCTGTCTTCCGATCACATGGTAAAGGTTTTTACTCCCCCACCTCCATGGCCAAGGTAATTATCAATTTCCCCATAGTAAACATTGGGAGTCATTATTAGATTATACTGCCACTTTACAAAGCAAACCCACTCGCCACTTTAATTGTACCTTTACTTGTTTGTTAATTGACTCTGGCAGCAAACATATAGTAATGTTGTTCCTTTTCCAGTATATTACTACATATATTGACCAATTAAAAAAAAATTAAAAAAAATAGCATTCAACAAGAAAGAGATAGCAAGTCTAAAATAGAGTAAACTACCACTTTCTATATAAAAGCAAAGTGCAAGATGGTCAATAAGCTTACAATCTTACAAAGATAATGAAGACTGAAGCAAAAATGTATCAACATTATAAGTTCAAGATGATAAGGGAATGAGATAGCCACATCCTGCAGGTAACCCTCATGGTGGATTTCTGCAGTAATGTAAGCTAGTGGCATATGAGAAATAAAACACTAGCATAACTACCAGACCCAAAAAAAAAGGGTTGCGTGACGACCTTGAACAAAGCAGTCTATAAAACCTGAGAACACAATTTGTTATATAACAGCTAACAAAACAGCATTCCTCATCGTAATGTCTTACTCATAGTTATAAGCTACTTCCCAAGCCAATGAGCCAAATAAAGAAACCACATTTTCCATATGCACTACAAACACCCTATTGCTAGAGCATTTTCAATCAACTGCATGCACTGCATTTTTTTACCCATATCTTGGTGTTAATCCAAAGTTGTCGTACACAATGCCACCCACACTTTGGGTCGCTTTACAGACACTCAGTATCCACAATAATGAACAGTTGGATAAAACCATGCCTCTATGTGCTCGTCACACTGACGACCACTAGAAAGGTTCTCTCATTAAAGATCATCAATAAATCTGCATACAAAGAAAACACCAAAAGTACACTGGTTTGGTGAATAGCAAACAGGAACAAACAAAAAAACAATATTAATGTGATATTTATTCACATCACTGTAGTAAAATCCAACAGAAAATTTGGAAAGAATGAATATACTTTCTAAATACCAATTGATGAAAATATATCGTCAATGTCATCTGTATTAGTGGTAACGTAATCGTCTGAATTGTCCTTTCTACATTTAGTTTCCAAAGCACCAGCTAGAGAAGTAGTTTCAGTAATAGTAGATGACACCCCTTGTTTATGAAGAACTAAATCTAAACACAACCCAGACCTTTCTGAGCCTTTCCTTTCAGATGCTGGTTGAGAATATGTATTATAAAACTGTCCATAGTTTGGTGGTTTAGTCCTTCCTGAATGTGTGACCTTGTATTTCCATGTTCTTTGAAAGCAATGTGATTCCAACCGACGGCATGTTTGGTTTGATTTAAGAATTCCTTTATGCAAGCTGTGACAGATTGACTTTTTCAAATGCTTTAGTTTATTCTTCAGGCTACATGGAAAGAAAAAAAAATTAATTACATTTCTGCAACATAATAAAGTAATGTGGATATAATTTTTTTTTTAATAATAAGTATGCAACAGCAAAAATACAAACAGCTAAGAACTCTGCTAAAAACCAAATCAAACCAATAGAGATGCACTCAAAATGAATAAAATAATATTTATCAAGTTGTGATGTTCTTCCATACATTGCATTGTGTTGCCAATTAAACAAGAAATATATAAATAGTGTATATCAAATAAACAATGCTAGAGAAAAAGAAAAAAAGAGCAGAAGTTCTTATAAATTAATATAATGAAGTATAACTCTAGTCTATAGATAAGATGGGTTATATAGTGTTAGCCACTTACAGGACATAGAGCCCAGAGTTGGCTATATATACAGCACGTTTAATTAAATGTAAACATTGGGAAACAATTTTTTTTTTTTGTAGTACGTAGGATTGATACAAACATGCTCGTTGAGCCACAACAGCTGGAACAAGCACACGGAAACATGTCAGGTTAGGCATACTTATAACATTTGAAGGTTCTGCACAATTTTTGTATGATGGTTATATACAGGTAGAATATGTCAGTAGGAGAGTAATGGTTTAACACCATGTGTGTGCAGGCTGCGTGAGCCGACATGTTAGGTATTTGAGGTGTCATGGTAACACACTTAAAACAAATAGAGGAAACAAATATCAGCATGAAAAAAAAACAAAAAACTAGGAAACCATTTACAAAAAAACTTCAATGTGTGTTGGCACTCTGCTACTAAATGGTGCTGGTATTGGAGGTGTTTCCCAGAACAACCTCAAAAAATGCACAAATTATATCCATAAATACAATACCGCACTCAAAAAAGATAAGAATCAATTAATATATATATGCCAAGAAAATTTATTGTACAAAAACTATTTATAAATTCATGAGTGAGTAATGAGAAGTGATTTCCTTATAAATTCATCAATTTAAACAATTTCATCGTATATACATCCCAAAATATATACAATTATTTACAATCTGTGTACATATGAAAAATGGAGTTCAAGTTCATGGGTGGCTTCCCTGGGTTCCAATGGGGACCAGCCTGACCCAGTACAGGTCAGAGACAGGAGCTGCAATGGCAGCTGCAGGCTGCTCTACTACAGTGTGGATTCCCATTCACAAGTGCTGTGAGGAAGTGATTTGAGATCACTTCCTCTACGTGCTGCAATGCATACATTGAGGATTGTCCTTCACCACCTTTTCGTATTAGCAGATATCTTAAGTTTCACTGGGATTTCTGATAGGCCAGAGCCTGTTTGGCTCTAGCAGCCTTGAGTGCTATGCAAAGACACCTTTGAGTGCCGTACATGGCACACGTGTCATATGTTGCCTACCCCTGCTCTAGACCATTGATGCCCAAAAGGTAGATCCCAAATGTTTTAAAACTACAACTTCCTTGTTGCTTTGCCATACAAACCATTAAGGGAGTTGTAGTTCTATAACATCTGGGGATTGATCTTTTGGGCATCCTTGCTCTAGGCTCCTTGTGACCAATTTTCAACTCCCCTCCTAATGCTGCTATCAGTAATTACGTGTTTAACTTGTAGTACTTCCACAGAGAAAAGGCAGTGTTCACATTACAGCCTAAGGATACCTTTATTGGGTGCTCCACAGATAGCCACTGGAAGGGCTTCCTGCGGCAGTGCTGCACACTGTGCCATATAGCGTCTCCACCCTCTGCATGGAGACGCTGAACTTTCCCCATAGAGATGCATTGATTGAATGCATCTCTGTGAGGAGGTGCTGATTGGCCAGTGCGACATATGGTTCTGCCGCCCCCCCCAACCTACCTACTTGGCTGAGGTCATCAGAATTATTGGAAAGCATTGTGATTGGCAGAGATCATCACTTCTGATAATGTAGCCAAGGAGACGGATCGTGGCGGAGCCAGTGCCAGCAGACCGCAATAAATGTAAGATTTTACTATATTTAGGGAGGGCAAGGGGATGGCCAGGGGGGCTAGATAATGTTTTTAACACTAGGGTCAGGAATACATTTGTGTACCTGACCCTATAATGTTCCTTTAAAACGCCATGTCAGCCATACCACTTCCTCTTTGGTACTTATATAGACTACTGTCCACGGTGAATCTTAACTCCCAAATTTATATATACCTACAAGTAAGCAATTTATGCTTTTTTTTTTTTTTATTAAAAGGTTTTTTGTTTTTTTTCTCATTTGTCTCTCTCTTCTTCACCTCATCTGTACACAAGAGTTATATTTCATCACATTTACTTGAATGTCTGTTTATTATTTTCCCAGCATTGTTGTTCAATTGATCTGCACTTTTACTTGTTTTTTGTTTTATTTGCCAATTGGCTACACAATGTAATGTTAGGAAGAACACCAAAGCTTTTGATAGGTTTACTTTTGATCATTTGAGCACACCTCTCTTGGTCTGGTTTATTTTCATATATTTATACAGAACTAGATTTTAAGGTAATAACATAAATACCTTTATGACAAATACAACTTATTTCTAATAAATATAGAAACAATGTTCATCTATACCTCGTGCTAGCAAATTTCCAGATTTCTCAGAGGTCAAAACCAACCCTTTTCCCTAATGTCAGTCAATTTAGTCATGTCAGATAAAAAAAAAAAAAAACTGTGCTTTGCATGTTTTATCAGGGAAAATGCTCTTCTGCATGCCTTCAGCCTAAGTGAAAGCAATGCCTGCAAGTGGAAAAGGGGGCAGGGTTTATGTGAGAGCAGCAATAGCAGTGCGGAGAGAAAGACAAAATGATTGATTGTAGCGGTTTTGGACAGGGTGAGTCTGTGCTTTGTAAACAGGAGTATGCAGCAAATGTAATACCCAATGAAAACAAGTATGATGTTCTTAGCAGGAGACAGAGCCAACAGAAAACTAAAAATATGAACATTATATTAATATATTATTGGACATGAACTCAGTGGTCTGTCCCTAGAATAGGTATAAGATCTGTGACCTCCAACCTAGTAGTGCCAGCAGAATTTGGCCATATTCACGAACATCCCTAGGTTGTTAGAACAGACGTAATTATTCACAGGATATAAGCAATTAGACCAGAGCGCCAGCTAAAAAAGTTAGGAGCCAGTAAGTATACTTTCTTCCTTTATTTTCTTTAGGAGCCATAGCTTTATATCCAACAACAAAAATAAAATTCTTAAAGGGACACGATGGTCACCAAGACCACAACAGCTTAATAGAGTGGTTCTGGTGCCTATATCCTGTCCCTGCAGGCTTTTCGATGTAAACACTGACTTTTCAGAGAAAAGGCAATGTTTACATTACTTCCTAGTGACCGTCACTCAGATGTTCACTAGAGGTGTTTCCTGTGTCAGTGCTGCACAGTGTGTAGCACCTACATTCAGCGTCTCCATGCTCTACATGGAGGCGCTGAATGTTCCCCATAGAGATGCATTGATTCAATGCATTTCTATGAGGAGAGGCTGATTGGTGCAGTGTTTTGCAGCCAATTCTATAGGAAAACATTGGATTGACTGAGGTCATCAAGCTTGATTATCTCAACCATAGAGGCAAGGCCAGTCGGCGTTAAAAAAAAAAAAAAAAAAGTAAATAAAAACACCATTCCTTTGTGAACGAAAGTAGTCGGGTAACTTAAACAAACACACACACACCATGACAGACAAATACGATGACAGACACACACGCATGTAACATGACAGACAGATCCATACACACACACCATGACAGACAGACCCATACACACACAATGATAGATAGATACACTCGCATACCATGAGAGAGACACACACACACACTCCATGACAGACAACAGACAGACAGAAACAGTATAACAGAGACCCATATACTCACACTATGACAGACAAACAATGTGGGGTCCAGTAGGCGGCTGGGTGGTCAGGCAGGCGGGCGGCATGCTGGGTGCTCGTGAAGGCGAGCAGCTGGCTGTGTGTATTGTTGCCGACTGCGACGGAGCAGTAATGTCTCTTCTTTGCTCCCCCGCGCGCCGCTCAGTAAGATGGGGGCTGTAATAAGACGCCATATTTCAGCACCGGTCTTACTAAGCGGCGCACATGGGAGCAGAGACATCACGCCTCCCTCGCCGGCGCCTATTTGCGGCAGCCAGCTGCCCACCTCCACGAACACCCAACTTGCCGTCCGGCTCCATAATTCCTCAGCCGGCCTTCCGCCACCAGGCTCACATATCCCAGATGCCTAGGCCAAATTCCTAGGCGCTATGGCGACCTGGGATTTGTCGAGCCCTGAACTAGACATTACATCAATGGGGTCACAGTCACAACTGCGACTCTTGTAAATTCTACATGTATGCTAACAATTCACAGCTGCTTTCTATTTAAAAAAAATTATTAAAAATCTATAGTTATCCAAAGTTATCTACTTGCTAACAATTTAAAATTGAAGTAATAATAAATAAAATAAAAAAATAAGTACAAATTTCAATTTGCCAATGGAATCAAGATCATAGTGGGAAGCTTTGCTCATACCAGTATCCTTGTACTTCAGTGTGCATCCATCTGTTACTTCTCAGATATTTATTTCTGAAGAACATGAACTCTGCTGCCAGTCGCTTTTGTTTGCACCATGCTACAGCATGCTGGAGCTGCTCACACAGGTCTCGGAAACAATCTGCTTTTTTAATTTTCGGTACAATATGTCTAACACATTTTGCTTTGATTCTATCCGCAGATGAAGAAGCCCATGTTTTCCTAGATGCCCTGGGGCTTTGATTGGAAATGTCCTTCTGTGTAAGGAAAGCAATGTTAATAAAAAGGCAGGGTTTCGTTTTAATAAGATTAGTCTAAATAGGTTTTTCAAGCAGGAGGTCCCCCCTCTCCATTTCAAACACAGTTATAAACACAGTATAAAGGGACGATTTACCATTTTTGTGAACATATATGGATGAAAAAAGTAAAAAATATAAGAATTCTTCTCTAGCCATATCTAAAGATGGATACAAATATAAAAGGCAAGAAAATTATTCTGAGTCATCGATAATATTGTATATTTTGTGATATAAACATGCTTAGAATATCTCAGAACATCTCTCATGCTTGTTTTCACTTGTTTTAAATGTTTGTCTAATTTTTTACTTTCCTAAAATGATGATGCTTATGTTTATAACATTTTGTCTCTAAAAATCTAATGGATTATGCAAAATAGCACTGAGGCAAGCTAAAATTTGCAGGTAAAAATCCACAGTACTGTATTTCACCGAATAATAGTCGTAGATTTTATGCCAAACACCTTTCCTTACAAATGGGGGTGCGATCACTAGGCGGTGTGCGACCATTATGTGAAGCTTTATTTTTGCGATATTATATCTGCAAAGCTTTTTTTTTAAACAGTTGCTGATAACATATATAACACACAAACAACTTTCTATGGATGCGGCTATTTAGCTTGCAGAGAAACTTGTCAGAAAAAAAAAAAGACATATCTTTTAATTACCAAAATGATAAAGTATTTTATATTAAAGATCAACTGACCTGCTTTTCAAAAATTTTTATTTATATTTTAAAATGCCCTTGCAACCTTATTTATGTAGGAAGAACCACTAGATGCTTGAACATTAGAATATCGGAACATGTAAAGAACATTAAAAAAAGGCATAGAAACACATAGTGTCTCTGACCATTTTAAAACATACCATAATAGTAATCCAAAAATACTTTCTTTGCTGCTATTAAATTGATACAGAAAGATTGGAGGGGAGGAGATTTTAATAGAAAAATAGGAGAAGAAGAAATGAAATGTATTTATAATTTTAAGACACTTGCCCCTTACGGTCTGAATCAAGATTTTGAGCTTTGCCATTTTTTAATATAAAAGATTCTTAATTAAATACAATTTTAATTATTTATAAATTCTTTACTCTTTGGGTTTTTTAATTAACAATACAGTCATCACATTTGAGAAATATGTATTTTACCAATGAAAATCCACCACTCACCTCCCTCACTTTGTTTTTTTTTTTTTTAAATAGTGATGTCTTGTGGTGACATTCTGTCTCTTTAAGAAATTTATATATGAAGTTTAAAATATTTCTGTCTCTATACCATTTTCTATATAGAGTAAAAGGTTTTTTGAAATGATTACACTTTTTTTTTTTTTAAAACATATATAAGAACCATAATATCTCTTTTAGATATTTAATCTCTCTTTCTAGATGTTTTGAAATGCAATATGTAATTTTTTTTAAGCCGATCTCAAAAATCATGTGATCGGACTAAATACACGTGACCGGACAATTATACAGAGAACCAGGAAGTAGAGAGTGAGACTCAGGATGCGTTTCACCACAAAATATTAAGCACACATGACCGGACACGATACAGGGAACCAGGAAGTCGCAGATGGAACGCAGGATGCAGGATGCGTTCCACCACAAAAGACTGAAAATAATGCAGGTATTTAAGGTACTAAAAGACGGAACAGCATTATCTACGCCAACTGAGGAAGCCACATTTTGGCAAAACGCGTTTTGGCACAGAATTGGACAATAGTAGACTTTAAACTTCTATTTTATGAAGTGTTTTATCCAGTGTATTTATAAATAAAAAATTTTGGCAAGCATCCTTATCTTAGCTGCTTATCTTTGGGAAGGAATATTTCCACTTTTCCAGAGTATCAACAAAGAGGGTTTGGATCACCCTAAAGAGATCCTAAGGAAATTCACACCAGAGCCAGGTTCAGTATATGGCTCTATGTTTGTGAGTGTGTTTAAGTTATACTTATTTTCCATATTATGTATTAAGGTATCTGCACTATTATGTACCTCTCTATCTTTACAGTGACAAAGTAAGAAGAGAGAGAAGTATATTTTTATTTGCCATACTTGCTCCACCTATTGTTTGTGTGTTATATATGATTTAAAGGTGTAGGGGATACCTCACAGGTGTTAGAGCTTGTATCACTTAGTAGACCTACCGCTTTGTGTTTTGCTGATAACATTATAGTTGCTTATAACAGCATATTTTTTAATGCATCACATACACTCTGATCCTGATCCCTGTCCTCCTGTCATTTCTTAATGCATTACATTATTATTTTATTATTTATAGAGCGCCAGCAAATTTCGTAGCGCTGTACAATAGGGTAGATGAAATAAAGAGTGTGGTCATCAGTACAGTCTGGATATCCACGGTTCCGAATAGTGGTAAGGAAACAACAATAGTGCTCTCAATATGATAAAAATGATAAGCCGTTGGTGGAATGATCCCCACCTAGGATTTTTGAGTTCAGGAACAGATAAAATTGCCAGGACGGATAAAAATAGATAAAATAAAAAAATGCATTTAAACTCAAATAAATCCTAGGTGGGGATCATTCCACCAACGCCTTATCAATAGAGCAGTATTGTCTGCTCTATATTTGGGAGTATAATTTTAATTATTTCTATCTCATTTTTATCATATTGAGAGCACTATTGTTTTCTTACCACTATTCGGAGCCGTGAGAACACAGACTGTACTGACGACCACACCCTTCCTGTATATCCTTTAAGTGGCGATCATACCACTGTACGCCCTCCACTCCAGAGCTGGTTATAGCTCTATTAAATTTGAGTGTATTACCTGCTTTTGCTACAATACCTATTCCTGGATTTTGGCATATCGCACTATTGGTTGTTTTTTATCTCTCCACATATACAGATATTTTAACCATCCGGACGGATCAACTCCTGAGGATCACACTCCATTTTATCCTGTTTTATATTGAGACTTATTTTATTTTCTGACTACAAACTCCTGAGGATTGCACCCTGTTTTATCCTGTTACATTAGAGAGACTTTACCTTATTGGCGCAGCCTTTTCTGCCTTTGTACTACTCCCTGTCTTTTTGAAGGGTTAGAGGGATTCCCTTCTTTAAGGTTGCTGTCCACTGACAGTGTTTATAAATTAGCGCTTACCTTCTGTTTTTTTTATACAAAAACCACTTTTAAAAAAATAGAAAATCTTACTTGTAGAGTTTTGGATTTGAGAGACTTGCATAATGTCTTGACATCAAAGGTTCCCAACGTGCCTGTTTACAAAAGCAACAATAAGGACACCAATTATAATAAAAATAAAGTATACATTTTTTAAAGGGCACTCTGCACAAAAGTTTTTAATAGTACTCTTTTCTGTTTAAAATAAGCACATTTCAAAATAACAAAAATGCCTCCCCGACGGTCTTCCACTTTCATTAGTACCACAGAGCCAACGGAAATGGCAGGCATACTCTGCTAGAGCGCACCTGGCTTTTCCTCCCAGATGCAATGTCCCCGTGTATAACCGATCTGCAGCTTCTAATTGAGCTGAACTATAGTTCAATGAAAAGTCTATGAATGAGAAGACTGAAGAGTGGGAAGACTGGGCAGCACATGTGCATTTACAAAAAAAAAAAAATGTAAATAAAAAAAATAAAAAAAATTATATTTTACTTTAGAGCTGCAATCTTCTCTAATTAGACATCACGGTTAGAAGGAACAACCCAGGGAAATTTTTGCCATAGTTTTATTTTTTATTTCTAAAATGTATTACAGGTGCTTGGAAGTGTCCACGGCTGCTTTGCATGTCCTTAATCTGAAGATCTTTGCAAAGTTCATGGTAAGCCAAGCCAACAACATCTCCATTGTACATAGGATGCTTAACATGAGCATTGGACAACTGTTTACATTTTCACTAAGTAAATGATTGAAAATACAGTTGTGTAAGACCTTGGGATATTGTCTCAAAATATTAATCCTATACACATCCTGAGATCATGCCGCAGACCGGACAGGCCAAGTTGTTAGATTGAATTGTCCATTTCACTTCTCCATCTAACTCTTGAAAAACACAGATATGACACTAAATTATGTTTTAAGATTTTCTGAAAGTTAATCAATGTAAAGAATGAATGAAACATACTTTTCAGCAAGTGTAACTGACATTTGACTAGAACAGTATATGTTTTACACTAGTCAGTCTAACGGGCTTCCATCCTAAAAGATTGACCAAGAACTTTATTGGCTTAATTGTCCAGAATAGCTTCTACAGAGAAAGCACTGGGAGCAAAACTGGACTGCAGAAAGGTGAGAGGGGACAGAAATATGCTTTACTCCTCATTTAACTATTTCCAAAGTGAGGCTTCAGAGATTCATGGCATCTAATTGGAGGAATCAGATAAATAAAAAAAAAAAAACATGGATAAAATGCAGCACAAAAAAAACACAACAAAAAAAACAGTGTGCATTGAAAAAAACTTTTATGATAAAAAAATATCGTATCTGTTTACCTCTGTTAGAAGAACGAGCGTCCATGGGTCTCCCCAAATCAATAACTTCTATCCTAGCTTCAGGCATATCTAATGGTTTCTTCAGCGCTCCCACTTTAGAATTCGACTCACGGGATAAAAACATTTTATTTAGCAATTTTGGCAGTTCTTTCTTAGACGTTATTTTAGGCAGCTTTCTCCCAGCTAGATCAGTGAACACAGGTCCAAGATAATCTTCCATTTTGGCAGGAAAAGTGAAGTTTATATAAGGCATATTCTGGAAACTGGATATCTCTTGTTGCAATGAAAATTGTGAATCATATAATGATACTAGCTTTTTTAAGATACCTCTGTACAAAACCCTACGAAAGAAAAATTAAAATAGATGAAAACATAATTTAAAGTTGGATTTAAAAAGCATAATGATATAGGTCAACTTAAAAATGGCTTATCTCAAAACAAGATTATCTAAACTTAATCTAGATTTTATTTTTGATCCCAGTTCAGCAGCTTTAAGCACATTTTAAATAACCCAATTGTCCTTGATTGTACAAGTCCTTTCTAGTGCACAGAACATACATATATATATATATATATATATATATGTGCATCATGGAAAGTACAAATTACACATATTTACGAGAACACTATAGTTAATTGTAATGTTTATGAGTCTTTGGGTACCATCTCCTGGTTTCTACTAAATCATTTTTTGACACAAAAAGGCCTTATCCAGCACCCTGAGACCTGCCCCTTGTGTAGCCTCCGATGATTTTTGAAGATAAACTTCTGCATTGTCTGTCAAAAACTATTCAACAATTGTTTGTTCCGAGAGTCTGAGGTAGCTTAAAAGACTAATTGGAACAAACAATTACAATGAGTTGTAGTGGCTGAATTGGCTTTTTAGGAGTATGAAATTTATTTCTGACAATGATCAGATATGAACTATTTCATTTTCAAAATGATAAGGGACAAAAAATACAAAAGATACAAGCTCCAACGAAATAAGCCCCTTAGGTACACTGACCTGTCAAAACATTAAAACCACTGATAGGTGAAGTGAATAACATTGATTATATCGTTACTGGGTCAGAGCATCTCCAAAATGTTAAGTCTTGTGGGATGTTCCTGGTATGCAGTTTCGTACCTATTAAAAGTGGTGCAAGGAAGGACAATCTTTGTCAGGGTCATAGGTGCTCAAGGATCATTAAGGCTAGCCCATCTGGTCCGATCACACAGAAGAGCAACTGTAGCTCAAATTGCTGAAAAACTTAAAGGGACACTCCAAGCACCCAGAACACTTCTGCCCATTGGAGTGGTCTGGGTGCTAACTCCCACTACCCTTAACCCTGCAAGTGTAACAATTGCAGTTTTGATAAACTGCAATATTTACCTTGCAGGGTTAAGTCCTCCTCTAGTGGCGGTCTACTAGAAAGCCACTAGGGGACACTTCTGTGTTTATATAACACACTTTTCGTGTTCTAACAACACTGGACGTCCTCACGCTATGTGAGGACCTCCAGCGTCGCCGAAATCTCCATAGGAAAGCATTGAAAGCATTATTAAATGCTTTCCTATGGGGAGGTCTAATGCGCGTGCGCGGCATTGTCGCGCATGCACATTATGTCTCCCCCGCCCGCACATGCGCAATAGGAGCGTGGGCGGACCTTGACTCAGTGCCGAAGGGACATCAGCGCTGGATACAGGCAAGTCATTGAAGGAGTTATAACCCCTTCAGCAACTTGGGATGGGGAATGGGAGGGGGGACCTGCAGTGCCAGGAAAACTGTTTGTTTTCCTGGCACTGGAGAGTCCCTTTACTGCTAGCCATGATAGAAAGGTGTCAGAACACAAGTGCATCACAGTTTTCTGCTTATGGGGTTGCATAGCCACAGACCAGTCAGAGTGCCCACGATGATCCATGTATACCACTGAAAGTGCCTTCAGTGGGGACAGAAGCGTCAGAACTGGAGAAGCAATGGAAGAAGTTTGCCTAGTCTGATCAGGTGGATGGCTGGGGGCATGTGCGTTGTTTACTTGGGGAAGAGATGGAAGCAGGATGCACTATGGGAAGTTGGCCGGCCCATGGAGGCAGTTTAATGCTCTGAGTAATGTTCTGCTGGGAAACAGTAATGTAATTCATGTGGATGTTACTTTGACACATACCACCTGCCTAAAGATAGTTGCAGACCATGGACACCTCTTCATGGTAATGGTGTTCCATGATGGCAGTGGCCTCTTTCAGCAGGATAATGCACCCTGCCACACTGCAAACATTGTTCAAGATAGGTTTGAGGAATATCACAAAAAGAGTTCAAGGTATTGCCTTTCAATCCAATTAAGCATCTGTGGGATGTGCTGGAACCACCTCCACCTCACAACTTACTGGACACAAATGATCAGCTGCTAATGTTTTTGTGCCAGATACCACAGGGCACATTCAGAGTCTTATGGAGTCCATGCTCAAATGCATCAAGCTGTTTTGGCTGCTCAACAGGGAGCTGGTTTTAATATTGTGACTAATTATTCTATGTCATGGGACACGCAAAGCACTGACTTTGCACAAGTTACAGTGTACAAAGGTCCCAAGTCCATGCTTCCTAGAACAGTTACCTATAACTGCAGCAATTCAAATGCAAGTTTTCTAAATATATATTTCACTGTAATAGTTTTGTTCTGTGAGTCAAGATTTCTTATGAGTGGTGTGTGCAAAGTGGCAATTATGAAAATTAGCCAACATTTCATTTCCTGCATTACTCCTCCCACTTTGACATACACTTAATCAAATGTTCTTATTTGACAGCTCTGGCTTTTCCTTTCTTGAATTCTTCATGATTTCTCACGTAAAGCACTGACTGACTTTGCACAAGGTACAGTGTAAAGGTCCCAAGTCCATGCTTCCTAGAACAGTTACCTAAAACTGCAGCCATTTGCAGCCCACCCCTTCGTAATAATACTTAACTGCTTCTACATTTATATCACATATCCAAACTTCTTCAAACATGAACTTTCAGATATCTACAAAAGGAGCATATTTCTCAACTGCATCTCTAACTTAATATGTTCAAAAATATGAGTGGTGCTTTCAATAAGAAGATACAAAGTGAATATCTGGCTTCTATCAGGTTGTGCAGCACTCCCAATTTTGTCTTCATGAAGGGAACTCTTGCCAGCATTAAACTACATATTCCAGTTTTGATGAAAGCTTTTTTAAAAAAATAAATAAATAAATAATTATATTTTGGTATGTGTGGGTGAATTCAGTGCAGGAGCTGAAAATACTGGACATGTGTATAAGCTTATAAGATTCAAATGCAAGTTTTCTAAATATATATTTCACAGTTTTAATTTTGTTCTGTGAATCAAGATTTATTATGAGTGGTGTGTGCAAAGTGGCAATTACGAAAATTAGCCAACATTTCATTCCCTGCATTACTCCTCCCACTTTGACATACACTTAATCAAAATGTTCTTATTTGACAGCTCTGGATTTTTCTTTCTTAAATTCTTTATGATTTTTCACAGCATCAGACATCAACATCATCCCACTGTTAAGTCACTTTCTACATTTTATCATACTGGAAGTCTAGGGCAGCAATGGAGTCTCTTAAATACAATTAAACTTATTATAAAATATACAAACCAAAAACGGCTAAGAAGTCCCAGAAGTACCACATTTAGAACAATAAATTCCTCATGGTACAGATGCTGTATACATAAACTGAAGACTGAATTAAGGTAAACAGATTAGCAACACTTAAATGTAGTTTAAACACAATTTTTTTTTCTACATAGCAAAATATTAACGATAGAAGAAGTCAAACTGGCATGTCAGAAAACACTAAACAAATATGTATGTATGTGTATAATACACATACATATATACACATACACACACTTTAAATATTTTTTAAGGTTTGGTTCATAGGAGTGGACCACAATAAACTTAAACACATTTCGACAAATGCATGAAACTTCTGCACACTCTCCCATGCTCCAGGTACCTATTTTTTCTGGTTTTTCTAAGAACTTTTAATGATTCTAAAACCTGTGATATAAGCACTCTAATTAAAGCATGTATGTTCTAGTTCAATTAAAGGGACTCTCCAGTGCAAGGAAAACAATTCCATTTGAAATAATTACACTTGCAGGTTTAAAGGTGACGGAAGTTGGCACCCAGACCACTCCAATGGGCAGATGTAGTCTGGGTGCTTGGAGGGTCCATTTAAAGGCTGACATTTTAAACACAATCTAAAGAAAACAGTGGCCTATTCATATGTTTTCCAGAAAACCTTTAGATTTTTATCAGAAATGGTTTTACGGGGGCGGGGCCGGACCGCCATGCTAACCGGTCGCATGCAGGAGAGGCTCCGGAGCGATCGGGCCTCTTAAGCTACAAATGGCAGATTATTATGATAACCGACAAGCCTACAAAATACACACGGCTGTGGGAGAGGTAGCGGACCCTGAGATCGGGAGCTTTGGACCCCATAGTGGAAGACCGAAGCTTCGAGGGCTGCGGCCTACTCGGGAGGGGAGCGAGGTGGACGGCCGCTGCCAGGCCTCCCTTTCCAGCTGCCACACGCTGATTGCCAGAGCAGCTTGCCGGTCCCGTTTCCCCCCCCTTTGGGCCGGGGGGGTCATCCCGGTCCCCACTGAGAAGAGAGGTGGTGAGGCTGGGGCACAAGAAACATCCGAGGCTAACCTTGCAAGATGGCGGCAGCTTCTGACTCTCCACCATCTACCCCTACAACACGGAGTCTCTCTAAGCTGCGACCAAGCCAACCACTCCGGCGGAGGTCCCCAAAGCCAGATACTCGAGGGATACAGCGCTGGGAGAGAGGGAGACCGTGCAAGTAACTGGATCCGCCGCCAGCAACAGACCCTCTCTGGGGGGGGGCCGGACACACGTGGCGAGCAACGGAGCCATGTTCGCAGCGTGTATCTACCAACTGGAGCTAAGCAGTCGGAACAGGACGTACCTCAATTCTCTCGTTATGTGCCGAGCAGCTGGGGTACCAGACCGGGGTCTAGGAAGACTGATCCTGGCATGCAAGCACAGAGACACCCGCAGCCCCAAAACATGTGGACTTTGTTAGAAACAGCAGCTACACGTAACCCACTGGCAGCTTCAGACCTAAGATGCACAGCGGTACACCGCTGCCACTTTGCCCTTTTTGGCCTCTTCTCCCCACCAGACCCCACCCAGAGCTTTGTAGCTGCGCGGGGTCCTGCTCGACTCCAGTGGTCACTTGCCTACTGGCTCACACGACCATTTAAGTTAATACCCCTCATGTCAGTGGTCTATTGCTTATAAATTTTCTACTTGGTCTTACATGCAGACATATATGATTCACAACGTTAAAAATCCATTGCTAAGAAGAATGTACATCCAATGCTTTCCCTTTTTGTCTCTTCTCTGACTACTACTATCTGACTTTAAGCTCCTGTCACTATGGCATAAATATTTACCCTTCTCAGAAAAGCAATGCCATAAGCCTTACCATAATCTAACTATTGTTGATACTTGCATAACATATACCACTAGATTGCCTTACTACGTTTAAAAAATGTTTTAAAAATGTGCTTTCACTTCTATGCCACATATGTGTACATCTATGTTATTGATGTGATTATGTTTGCTGTTGTGGCAACGTATATCCTACTGTCAAACCATGCACAACAAAAATAAAGAATTCAAAAAAAAAAAAAAAGAAATGGTTTTACATCCCCTTAACAGCTTTGTCCAAAAGAGCTATGCTATTTGGGATGCTATTTTCCACAACGAACCAAATATAAATTAAATAAGTTAAACCTTATTCCTATCATATTATGATTTAATGGCGGTCTCGTCAAATTAAAAGGATACTGGAAAGTTTTACAGCAGCAGTCCAAAAGACGCAGTAGTAACTTGCAGGCACCAACAATTTTCACAGAAGCAAGCTCAATAATAGGCTGACTGGGTACAGAATAATACTGTGTTGTTTCAGATTCATTCTTCCTATACAAAAACAGGGAAAATGACAGTAGCATAAGAAAACAACATTTCATAAAAATATAACAGTCAAAGATGACATTGCCCTCATGAATGACCATTTACTGTACAATAGTATTTTAAAGAATACTCAAACTACATAATAAGCATACAATACATTTGTGATTAAGCATTATAGTGATTAAAGGGACACAGCAGTTTTCTTGTATAGCTCCTGCAGTCCAACTGCACAATTCAATGTCATTTAGGAGTTATTAAATCACTGTTTTATAAAGCCGTAGTCACAACTCCTTGACTTGCAGTGTTACTAAACACTTTCTGTAATGAGAGATCTCAAAATGTCATTTACTGCTCATTCTGTTTAATTTAGAATTTCTTATCTCCTGCTATTTTAATTGCCTCTAAGACCCTGCATGAGCCTCCTTTGTGATTAAATGTATTGTATTTCTAAAAAGGTACTTAAAGAAACGCACCAGACACAAAAACAACTTCATCCAAATGAAGTTGTTATAGTGCCAGAATACCCCGGAGGCACTCTTGCCTCAAGAGGTTAACCATTCTCGATTGCTTTAACCCCAAAGTTGCCTCCAGTGACAATAACCACTCCCCACAGGCGGCATCTGGCTCTTAATTTTAGATATTGTGTCTGCTCATAACCATAAAAATAAATAAATCTCACCTTTAACCACGGCTGCGCAGGTTTCATCATCGCTGCTACAATTCCCCTGGCCGATAATACTTTTGATATCAGCCAATCCAATGCATCCCAATAGAGAATTATTGGGGCCTTATGGCACATGTGCAGCAATCGTCACATCAATTAAAATCTCCTCATAAAGAAGCATTATCCCAATATCTATGGTGAGTGTTTGGGGGGGGGGAACGCAGTTAGCAGTCCTCATGTCACAGGGACATCGCTGCATCTGGGGATAGGCTTTCTGAGCCCCTTTGACGCAGATTGTCCAAATCGAGATCTGCACTGTTGGTAGAAGACCGCTCTCCCGGTTCTTTGGCTGGCCGTGTGATCCCCATCTCTAGCTGTCCCCCCACCCCCCTGGACCGGCAGGAGTTATTCCGGTGCCCACTAGCCTCCTGTCCTGCCTAGCACACCTGCAAGCAGCCATCACAGCCCTGATCCCAAACGCTGTAAAGGCATCCAAGATGGCGGATTAACGCTCACCACACAAGCTTGGGATCACACACAATGTACAGCCTCAACAGAGCGCAATTGACCCAGTGATACGGCGCATCAACGAGACATTTGACCAATTCTGGGCGAAGCTAGAGGCCCAATTGATTGCAGCACCGGCTGGGAGCGAGATGGTGGCGGACGGGGAAACAAGGAGAACTTGGACTAAGTCACAAGTTACCGAGGCCGTGGTACAAGGATGCAGGCCTGCATCAAGGAATGGGGCTGAAGGGAAGCCTTATTCCACTCCTGGCATACACCTTAGCAGCCTTTGTTGGATCCCGGGCACCGGTGTCAGCTGATGTTGGACTCATATTCCAAGGCCTATAACGAAGGTCGCTTTGGAGTCTTCTTGCTGGCCGCTGACGCCATCCAAGACGCCTCTGAGCCTACAATTCTCACCATAAATCGTTCTTATAATTTTAATTTGGGATAGTTAAATGAATAACTGTGTTATGTTTCTGCTGACATGTTTATATTTATGATCGGTACTGGGCCGATATCTTCAGCATCTAAGAATGGCTTATCTTAAACAGGGCAGAGGCTGGCAGACGTAGGGGGTACCAGAGGCTCACACATCGTGTTCATTTAGCCTGAATGTTACGTTTCACTTATGCATAGCGAATCTGTAGTATTTTACTTCTGTAAGTTTTGTAAAGCATATCAGCATTTCGCAACTACAATGTCTAGTAGCTCTTATTACTGCAAGCATTTGTTCAATTTTCATAGCTAGACATATGTGCCAGGCTTGTGATTAACTCATACTTAAGTAACTATTCTTCTGACTCTTATCAACCTGTCCAGTTAGTCAACACTTCTGACCAGATTAGAACGTGTCTCATGTCTAGACTGGTTAGTTTAGTTTCACTTAACCATAGCATAAAAAAAAATGTGCAATTGTTCACCATCACCATGCCTTACAACTGTATTTTCTTGAACAATGTTAATACTGTAGATGCTTTTGGAGCAATGCAAGACTGTATATGCCTCTCTTTTGTGCACAGAAAAATAAAGAATATAAAAAAAAAAAAAAAAGAATTGCAAAAAATGTAAGGTAAAATAGCTGCAACAGGATTTTTTTGTTTCAAAATTGCACGTATTTGCATATGTTTTGCAAATCAGATTTATTCCCTAGACAGGAAATTGTAGTAAATTGAAAACAAGTAAGAGCTGGGATAGTTAAATGAATGAAAATATGGGCCTGCAATGACCTTAAATGGAAAAACACAGCTACATTCACAAACTCACTGGCTCTACCAACAGAATTAATTACTAAACTTACATTTTTTTTTTTTACAAATTAAAGCTGAATGGAAAACCGAGCCAAAATTAGCGGTTTCAACAACTTAGCTATTTTGCATCAGGTTTGCTATTCATATTTTAAATTCACTGCAATTCGGAGTTTATTGACTAACCCTGCAAGGGAGGTTATTCATGCGTTTAAAATTTACTGGCTTCCACACATTGTTATAGAGCAGTCACTTCTCTGGAGATTACACAATCGAGAAAACACTGAAAATCAACTGTAACTTGTGTTGCAGCCCGCTGTAATGATTATGGTGCCTGGAAGGCCATGGTAAGATGTCAAACCGTTTTAACAAGTTCGACAACTTACCTGGGGTCCCACCAGACAACTGTGGTTGCATTAGGCAAGAAATGCTGCTTTTATTAAGACACGGAGGCTCCTATTATGCTGCACTCTTTCTTTATTTCCCTCAGCAGCAAAGAAAAAAACTTTATAAACATAACCAATAATAACATTAACAGTCTCAGGTGTAATCTTCCTAGTAACAGGAACAGCCAATCAGGATCCACTTCTCCAGCATAATAGGCTCTGTCAACCAATCCTGTTCCTCTTTCTTTGCTGCTCCCTCAGTTAAGTATATCTGATCCCTCAGGCTCCTTAACTGTGGGATTAGTTTTATATTGAATTACTTTTATATTGTATTAATATTATATTGTATTATTTTCCTAGCATTAATTTCCTAGTATTAATTTTATAGTATTAATTTTATATATATTACTTTATTACTTGATTACTTGGTATTATTGTGTGCTACTGTGGAATACATTTCTAGGGACATCCTTCATAGATGCCCCTTTATTATTTTATCTGCTGAATTTTCTGACCCCCTTTAAGTTTTCCCCCGCTCCAGCCGATCGCCCCTCAGATCCTAATTTTGCAGGGGCTCGGGGACGTCGGCTGGAGCCGCACCCGGCGCTTCGCGCCCTCCTCCTCCCCCTGCCGTGCCCGACCGCCGACTAAAGAGCTCACTGAGCTCAGCTATCAGCTCCCTGCTCGCGGCGTGCTTGTGCGCGCTGAGCGCTACACATTTCGCCGCGAGCAGGGCTTACCGGACTCTCTGTCCCTCTGCACCGCTCCGGCGGCCATTTTCTGTTTTTTCCCGCGCGCGGCACGTAGCTCCACCCCCAACTCCCGGTCCTCGGAGTTGGGTTGCAGCTACAGTGGCGGTCGGACGGCTCCTTGCCCCCCTCCTCACCTGTCATTTAATTGTGCTTCTTGTTTTGTGAGTACTCGTTTTTCTCTTAAAGGTATATTTCCCCTTTCTCTCTTTGGGTTACTCAACCCATCTAGGTCAGCTCAGTTCATTTATTTAAAGGGCCAGTGGTATACATAATATGCCTGGGGACAAAGATGTACCCTCTGGGTCTCTTATCAATAATTTGGGGTCTGTTAAAACACCCCCAGGGGTACCTGAAATTGGGGCAACTATCCCCGCTGATTTTGACTCTACTGCTGATATGCAGCTTATGTTTGACAACACCATGTCCCATGTGGTGACTAAGGCCCTCACATCAGCAATGGGACTGATGTCTGAATCTCTATCACAGACTATTACTCACGCTATACTTGGGGCACAAAAGTCGACCCAACCGGTCGCTACCCATGCTTTGCCTGCAGTAACCCCTTCCCAACCTCACATTGGCCGCAAGGCCACTGCAAAAACTAAACACTCTTCAATCTCACAGATGGACAGCTACACACCTGTCACAGATGGCGCGCCTAATATACCACCGCGCAAAAGAGCCACTAGCCGGGCAAAATCGGCTAGGTTATGGAAGCGGGCAAAAGCCCAACTAGAATCTGAGTCTGATCTCAGCGAGATTGAAGAGGTCACTGATATGGATTCGGAGGATCCATCAGATCCCCAATCAGAGGGTATGGTCGACGACCATGACCCGAGTGCACAGATTGCACCTCCATCTGAGTCGTATGACATGGAGCTTAAAGTACCAGACGATGCCACCAGATTAGTTGACCCCTACGGGGAACCTCTGTTCGACCCCGATGACCTACGTCATCCAAGGTCAGCGGACTGGTCACCTTCGGCCCATGTGGCCAAATACGTGGCATCGCGGACTCGCAAACCTTTAAATAAGGTGACACGAAGCAAACTGCGGGCAGAATGCCCACGCCCCACTGTCCCTGACGAGGCCTGCAGAACACCTGCAGTTGACCCGAAAATCATTCAATTCTTGGGCAAGACTGGCTGGAAGCCTAATAAGGGCCTTGATTTCTCCCTGCGCAACTACCAGGACAAGATATTAGACATATTGGGCCCGGCAACAAAAATTTTTGATATGGTCGAAAGTGACCAAGAATTAGATCGTTCCGCCATAAGTGGTTGGATACAAAGAGTGATTTGCCTGATCGGCAATGCCAACTGTGCGGTGGCCACAGAGCGTCGCAAAGCGATCTTATTAAAGATAGAACCAAAACTGGTGAACATGGCTATAACCGAACCGGGCGCCCAGGCCCGTGGCCTCCTGTTCGGAGACAACTTTGTCAAGGAGCTTGGCTCCTTTGTTCATACTTTCACTGCCCTAGACAAAGCGCAGTCAAACATGCGCAAGATTTTCCAACCTAAGGTTTTTGGTGGGCCGGAAGAGCCAGGAGCCGTCTGTCCGGCCGTGTCAATAGGGGCTCGTTCCGACAGAGCCGTGGCTCCTACACTGGACATGCCTCCTTCACGGAGCACCGCAACACCCCGGTTTTCTTCCCACAACGTGGGCGACCATGGGTGGCTCGTGGACCACGTGGCTCCCGCCCAGGCAGACGACCTTATGGTAAGTGCTCTCCTATTTCCTTCTTCCCTATGGGCAGTGGGGGGCAGACTCCGACATTTTTCCCATGTATGGTCACACATCTCGTCAGATGCTTGGGTACTGAACACGGTCAGAGGGTACACCTTAGAGTTCATATCCCTCCCGATACAACTCTCCCCGCCACGGGGAATGCTGTTTTCTCACCAAGACGCCTCCCTTGTAACCAAGGAGGTTTCAGAATTGGCACACAAACAGGCCATCTTAGAGATCCCTATGGCTACCCCAGGGTACGTAAGCAACCTATTCTTAGTTGCCAAAAAAGGCGGCGGCGTCCGCCCAGTTATCAACTTGAAACAGCTCAACACTTTCGTGGCCTACAACCACTTCAAAATGGAGGGCATACACTGCCTCCGAGATCTCCTCCAACCGTTGGACTGGATGGTCAAGTTAGACCTACAGGACGCCTATCTTACGATACCAATCGCACGTCAGCACCAGGACTTCCTCCAATTCATATGGCAAGGAAGGAAATGGAGATTCACCTGTCTCCCTTTCGGTCTGTCCTCAGCCCCATGGTGTTTCACCAAACTTATGAAGCCCGTGGTGGCTCTGCTTCGAAGTCGAGGGGTTCGTCTCATAATCTACTTGGACGACATCCTTATCATGGGTCGTTCCAACCACATTCTCGACACCCATCTGTCATGGACTCAGACTCTTTTGCAAAATTTGGGTTTCCTTATCAATTGGAAAAAATCCATCCTAACCCCTACACGACACATAGAGTTTTTGGGTCTCATCGTGGACTCCACTCTACAGACCCTACAACTGCCGGCAGCGAAACTGACCACCATGAAGAAGGAAATCAGGCGTACTCTGACGACCCCCCTGATCTCCCTAAAACAATTGGCAAGAGTGGTCGGCCTCTTGGCGGCTTCCATACAGGCCATTTTCCCGGGCCCTTTACACTATCGAGCGCTACAGCGCCTACAAGCCTCCCATTTGAGAGACGGGACCGCATACACGGACATGATCGCTCTGGATACAGAAGCAAAGACAGAACTCAGATGGTGGCTATCCCATATGGACGCCTGGAATGGCCGAGCCATTTTCGGTACCCAACCGGATATGATCATAGAATCCGATGCGAGCTTGCACGGCTGGGGCGCACGCTGTGGCACTGTTTCTACCGGTGGCAGGTGGTCCGAAGTGGAGTCGATGCTTCACATCAATTGCCTAGAACTCCTGGCCGGTTCTTTTGCAATCCGCAGTTTTTCTCCAACTCAAGCCCGATGTGCCATCCTTTTAAGGATGGACAATGTATCGGCAGTCCGTTATATAAATCACTTGGGCGGCACGAAATCGAAGGTCCTGGCGAATTTGGCACGAGACTTTTGGCAGTTTTGCCTGGCACACGGCATTTCGGTCACAGCAGAGTACATTCCGGGCCTCAACAATACCACGGCGGATTGGTACTCAAGGCACCTCAGGGATTCCAGCGACTGGCACCTGGAACCCAGGGTCTTCCAAGACATCCAGTCCCTATGGGGTCCTCTGGACAAGGACTTGTTCGCTTCCCGTTTGAACACCCAACTCCCCAGATTTTTCAGCTGGAGACCGGACCCGGCAGCGCTGGCAACAGATGCCTTTACTCAGGACTGGTCCTCCAAAAGGAACTACGCGTTTCCTCCCTTTGCGTTGATTCCCCGCTGCCTGCTACAACTACGGCGACAGACGGGAACGGCAGTGCTCGTGGCGCCATTATGGCCGTCTCAACCATGGTTTCCTTCCCTGTTGGAGATGGCGATAGACGTACCCCGTACTCTCCCACACTTCGACTACCTACTTCGAGACCCGGACGGGTGCCCCCACCCCCTGATTCAGCAAGACTTATTACACCTCACGGTGTGGCTGATTTCCGGGAACCTTACTCAATCGAAGGAATTTCGGAATCGACTCTCCAACATCTCGAGAGCGCATGGGCACCCGGCACGAGACAAGCTTATAAATCTGCTTGGCGCAAATGGCACGATTGGTGCATGGAACGGAATTTGGATCCCATATCAGCTCCTCTGACTTCGATCCTGCAATTCTTAACCTCCTTATTTGAAAGCGGCAAAGCATATCGCACGGTGAACCTCTACAGATCGGCCATTTCAAACTCACACCAAGGCATCGAGGGCGCACCGATAGGACGCCATCCACTGATATGCCGACTCTTGCGCGGCATCAGAGTCACAAGACCTCCGCTACCACGCTATTCCGTACTGTGGGACGTCTCCATCATCCTCAACTTCCTCGAATCTTGGCCAGATAACGCAACACTATCTCTGAAACACCTGTCGGCGAAACTGGTTATGCTCCTATGTCTCATATCCTGCAAACGGGTCTCAGATGTTAGAGCCTTAGACGTCACCGCACGGTCCTACACTCCAGAAGGGGTCACTTTCGATATATCTCGGAGAACAAAAACCTCTACGAAGAAGGTGACATATCCAGCCTTTCCTGACAAACCTCTTTTGTGTCCGGTTCAATGTCTGCGAACCTATGAACTTCGCACCAAGGCGTTGCGGGACCCATCTAGGCATGAACTCTTCATCTCCTTCCAGAGACCACACCTACCTGTGTCTACCACGACCCTGGCTCGCTGGGTCAAATGGATCGTGGCTACGGCAGGCATAGACACTTCCATATTTTCGCCACATTCCATACGAGGAGCAATGGCTTCCAAAGCCTCTTCGATGGGTTGCCGCCTGGAAGACATTCTGAAAGCAGCCGACTGGTCTTCAGAATCTACCTTCCGTGACTTTTACTTCAAACCAATACACCACTTTGCAGGAACGGTGGTTTCTCAGCTTTCAACCAGCATAATAGGAGCCTCCGTGTCTTAATAAAATTCACAGATTTTACTATTACCATGACGTAAAGTCATGATTTTATTAATGACACGGAGGCGAGTATTATCCCTCCCACCCGGCGACGGGGGAAGGATAGACGGAAGTTGGGTAAGTTGACCTACGGTAAGTCATTTTACCATGTCTAGTTGTTACAGTTGTAATCGCCAGATGGTTACAGTCTAGTTATACTTCGATCAAGGTAAGTTTAGTTACGATCACTGCTTACCTAGCTGGTCACCCACATTTATAGGTTACACAACAATACTCTCTTGGACACAACACTGACCAAACACTATCTTGAACACCTATAACTATGCATACACTAAGTTTTATGCTAAGATATCACCATATTTTTCCTCTTTTACAGCATAATCTGCCCATCTATTCCAGGAATACCATGTTCTATGCAGTTCAACGTTTTATTGGATAATTATACTTCTTCGGGATTGCAAACAAAGAGGAACAGGATTGGTTGACAGAGCCTATTATGCTGGAGAAGTGGATCCTGATTGGCTGTTCCTGTTACTAGGAAGATTACACCTGAGACTGTTAATGTTATTATTGGTTATGTTTATAAAGTTTTTTTCTTTGCTGCTGAGGGAAATAAAGAAAGAGTGCAGCATAATACTCGCCTCCGTGTCATTAATAAAATCATGACTTTACGTCATGGTAATAGTAAAATCTGTGAATTGTCCTGTAGAAAAAAAAAGAAAAAAATAGCCACTGCAAAACAATGCTCATTGGCTGAGAGCACACATTCTCTCAGGCAATGAGCGCAGCCCTGCTTTGCTGTATAGAGCCATTCTCTATGGTTCATTGGAGGTCTCCTTTACCCAATTTATTCACCTCAAATATGATCAGTTTAACTTTTGTATTAAACATTTAACAAATTACATCACTAGCCAATTCGTCCAGGCAGAGAGAGAGCATTTATTGCAAAAAAGGAGAAACAGAGAAAACATTTATTAAACAGGAGAATTTAAATATTTTATGCTGACTACCAAGTGCCCAGTTACAGGACAGAGACATATAGTTTATACATCTAATTTTTAAGGCCATCACAAATAAGTATTTTTGAATAGAAGGCATAAGTAATTAGATGCTAGGTGAAGGCTTGGATTTAAGAATTGTAAGCCAAGCATAGAAAAGCATCAAATACATATAACATGGCATTATTATACAAGTGTAGAACATTTTATATAGAGCAAGGGTTAAGGGAAGGGCTATGCCAAACAAGTATTTCTCTAAACAGTTAAGTTATGCTGATTTGCAAAGTAAGTGATATGGTTTTAGAAGTTCAATATTGGCCAAATAACCTGTTGACTCACTAAGTGAAACTTATACACTTGAAACTTAAATGGATGACAAACCAAATGCAGCAAAATATCTGCTGCTGCAAACGATATTATTAGGAATATCCAAAGGTACATTGAGAATAAAAGACTGACGAATGGTCACACATTACACCAACTAGTAAATGAGAGGATAACTGAAAATTATTTGCAGGTTTGTCAAATCATATGATCACACAAGTTCTAAACAATCTTCCCAAACAACTAATAATGTAGCTTTGTCACATGGAACACTGTTATAAAGTGTAGCACAAGTGCATGTTTAACTTAATTTCTGTAGTTTATGGGTAGCCTTGACCTCATGCAAACCAATTTGAAAAACTACTAACAGACACCTCATTAGTTAATGCTATTTGCATCATGGATTTGCCCACCAACTGCACTCAGTCCTTCACAAACTTGGTGGGCCTGAATTTGGACTATTAGAAAAAAAAAAAAAAAAATTATAGTCAAAATCTACACAATCCTTACCCAATATAATAGGGACACAATTCTAGTATCTCTTGGATAGATCCATCCAATCCCATAGATTCAATACGTTTTATGCACTGGTCTACCTGATTAAAAACAGAAAACAAATATAGATAAAATAACAGAGTTAGCATTTTAAAATAGCACGAGCCATAAATCATTGCTCTTAGGTGACTTTTTTTTTTTTAAAGAGGGAAAAAAATAAAAAAAATAAAAAACAAACAAACCAAAATTTTAATCAAAGTCATTACAATCATTGTACCTGTTTTAAAGCCAAATATGGTTTATGCAAACTCAGGCGGTGGTGAAATACATAAAGCAGAGAATGCAGGGCAGCAATCTCTGTCTTTAGGATGTGGCTCCTCAAGGATGACTGTACAGCGAGACTTCTTTCAATAACATGCTTTATGTGCTTTTCTAATGAAAGGGAGAAAAAATAAATATGAATCTTTATTCACAACTAAAATAATGTAGATTGTGTTGTTAAAGGGACGCTATAGGCACCCAGACCACTTCATCTCATTGAAATGGTCTGGGTGCAATGTCCCTGTCTCCTTAACCCTGCAATGTTAATTATTGCAGTTCCTGGTATAGGTAAAGGAGATCAGAATTGGATAACTGGACTATGTCATTTGGACCCTCCTCTAGGGTCACATGTAGTTTAAAAAAAAAAAAAAAACTGAACATTCATGGGATCAGATCACAGCTGAAACACCTTTTGGTTACATTCAACACTTTCTTTTATAAGTGTATATTCTATTTGTCTATTTAAATTGTATGTGTTTTAAAAGTTTCTTGCACAATAAATTTATTAGCACTTTAAAAAAGTCCTCTGAAGCCTCAAGAATCTTAATTCGGGTGGTACCATCCCCTTTACATTGGCCCAAAACTTGTTACCCTCAGAGCCAGGATTCTAAGGCTCTGAAAAAGGTGTGCTTAATACCCATATTATACTTTTTTGGTATTTTATTAATTGAACCACACATTGGATGTCTCTCCCTTTTATCTTGCCAGAGTTAATATCAGCATAGAAGAGTGGTGGGATGCTGCCCTTAGAGCGTACTAGCTGTATTTACAGAGCCAATTTTATAGGCCCTTTTAAATGTGAGTAACCCATTGTTCTCATAACTAGAATGGTCATAATTATCATCTACACTAATATATATATATATATATATATATATATACACACACACACACACACACACACACACACTTGTCATGCACATTCCTATCAAGACCTAGAGGGGTAAGCCACTTTTTTTTTTTTTTTTTAAATATCTTGGGATGTGGTGATCTGGGTAAATACAGTGTATTTTTTTTAATATAGGTAATTACCGGTAAGTACATACTGCTCCAAAACAGTACGACATGAACTCAAGTAACTACTGATGTGCATAAAAAAGACTTTTGAGGAAACAGATTTCAAGTGAAATGGGTCATCTCTTTGATTATACTGGATATATCCTCAATATATCTTTAGAAGAGCTTGCAGTGTCCATAATATGAAAATGGCATTAAACCTTATTAAATATACTGAACAGGACCATGAGTTTCTATGACCTGAGCAGATGAGATGGTTGTTTTAGCATTAAATGTAAGGGCTTCAATTATGTTCTTTTAATAAATTACATACTCTGCTGCAGGATTCCTAGTTAAAACCTGGAGCTGTGCTGGATCCTTTCAAGTGAGAGTAGCACCTGCATTACACTCTAAATGTGAGCATTTCTTTTTGCTTAAAAGTTGGTGTTGTACATACATATTGCGCAATGACTGTGTTAAGTATTTTAAATTTTTTTTTCTCTTCATAATTTGAAAGTGGAGATCAGATAAACAGGTTTTTTTTGTGTGTTTGTTTTTTTTATTCTTAATGATGGTTGACACATGCACCAAATTATATTATTGATCGCTTACGTGCAAGGGGACACCTGTTCCCATCACAACCCACAGGTGATGGGACAATGGCAACAAAAATGTTGCCTTTTGCCAAAGATTGACAATTACATACATTGTCTCTTGTGTACGTGTTGAAAATAGTTTTTCCATAGAGATTTTAACTTTATGAAAAGCTCCAAAAGTGAGGTGGCTTGATGCACAGTGCTGTCAGAGGGTTACTTACAGAGTTTCTAGAGTGTCATTGTTTACAGTTAGAATGTACAGTGTTCTGCCACAGCCCGTGCACCATCCAGTAATGACCATGATATCACGGTACTTCACCTGTATCTGTTCCCAGTGGTAACTGTATGGAGGACTGAATGGCGGGACGAGGCACATGTAGCCGGTTCCATGGCTCTGACGTCATGCTGTGCCTGTACGGAGACAGAGTTCTGGATTGGTAATTAGGATTCGCTGTGATGCATTACCCTGCCCGGCTCACACTTGCACGTGTGTTTACCGCTCCACGTGCACAAACCCGGAACTTGCCTCCCAGCAGCAAACTACGTGACCTCCGACCCGATCACGATATCCAATCAAAAGCTAGAAACTGGTGGACCAATCAGGCGGGAGGACACCGGGAGATCGCAAGCCAATAAACTAGGAGCGTCCTTCTATTTCCGTTTGATTTTCAATACAGAAGCTTTATTTATAAAGATATACACGCACAGAGTGTCCTTGTTGATAAGATTCAGGAAGCAGCAATGCACATTTAGTATAAGCAGGGCAGCCTGCCATCTCTTATTACACCATGCTTCTAGTGCTGTGTTCTCTTAGTAAATGGAAAAACATAAAATTGTTCAACCCATCCCTGCTCTATTTGGTTCTCATCTATAGAAAAAATATTTTTGTCATCAGTCTCTAGAATACATAAAAAAAGTATTCTAGGGCATTGGGATGGCACAATATAGAGGTTGTTCTAAAGATTTACCAATGTCTGTGTCTTGCCCATACCGCCAACTGTGTGGAAACCCCATTTATGGCTCCTGATTTCTGCTGCCTGCACTCCCACACTCAGATTATAATTTTTTTATTTTAATTTAAATCCACCCAGACTCCCTACCTTTGGGAGAGCTGGGTGGATTTTTTTACCTGGTGTTCAGTGGGGCTGCTGGCCGGGCTGTTTAGGCAGGTGTGCAGTCGGCGGCCAGTTGAAGTCCATGTGGGTGGCGAGGGAGCGCTGATTTGGGTGCGCTGCAGAGTGATGCCGGGAGCCGGAAAATAACAGAGAGGGAGCTGAGTAGGGAGAGTTCACAAATCAGTGCTCCCTCACTGCCTGCCTGGAGTTCAGATAGCTGCCAGCCCAGAGGCTTACAAGGCATTTGGGGGCAACGTTTTTTGCCGCCCATGGCAAATGCTTTATTTTCCTCATGGCAAATACACCGCTAATAATGGGCGTCCTTCTTTGCCCATTATACCACAAATTAACAGTAGAACAGTAAAGATTCATCAGATTCATTCCCACTATGCTCCTTAAAATGGTCCAAATGGGCGCATTAGAATCCTCCTCATAGTTGCCGAGTTCAGACAGACGCATTAATATGAGCTTTCACCCTTTTCCACTGTCTAGCTGATTTTGCTAGTGGCTCTTTTACGCGTTTGTGAATGCGAAAATCAGTGACAGGTGTGAAATTGTCCATCAATTATTTTTGGAGAAGTGTTTGGTTTTTGCCAGAGCCTAGCTGCTCTGTTTTGGTGCCATGCAGGGGTTTAGTCGCCTGAGAGGCCATAGGGACTGACCACTGAGTTCGTAAAAAGGTTTGTGTGATGATAGATAGAAAGGGAGTTAGACATCACTCCCATAGCCAAAACTAGGTCCTTAGTCATTGTCCTTGATATGGAGGAGTCCAACATTGTTTGGAACTCATCAGAGGCCAGGAACCAGGCTTTGTCCCCAGAGACTGAAGATGAAGTCCTCAATAGACTACCTGAAGCAATAGTTTGTGTGATATTTTCATACTAACAGTCAGAAGGAAGAGCCATTTCATCAGACTGCATTACTGAAGGCTAGTCAAATGAAGATACATGTAGTAGAAAGAGGGGGTAGTACCTTAGACCTTAGTATATTCTCAGAGGTTGTGTTCTTTGTGGTAGTGTGGTGGAATCTCGGTAAAAATAAATTTAGTAGGCCGAGATTACCACGTGGCATGTGTACGTGCATATGCTGACGTATCGATCAGTTGGTTGCACGAGGCAAGATACGATCAGTAGTGTACGGAGCATGTGCAAGAATACAGGATGTAGTATTCCCCTCCTCCATTGTGCTGGACAAGCCATGCGGTCAAGCAGGAAGTTAATTCTTATTTGTAATGATTGGTCAAGAGAATGTGCGGGTGGAGCTTAATATGGGAGGAGTTATGTGCCTATATAGGGAGCCTGCACTATTGTTCAGGGCTCAGAACTTGCTGTATTTTTGGTGACATTAGTCCCTCTGAGTCCCGATCGGTGATCCAATAAAGAATCTCTTCCTTCCTGAAGAAACCTGTGTCCATCCCTCTGTGCTTTGCTTCCGTCAGTTTCTCCGGTATCATTTGGTGCATTGGCCGGGAAGCTCATCGTTCAACGGTAGCTGAGAGGCAGAGGCGTGAGACGGTCTATCTTTGCCCACGTTCTCTACGGCTGCACCCCTGAACTTCTGCGTGGACCTCCCTTCGTCTCGGCGCCACTGGTCTGTTGTCCAGGAGATCATCGGCCTCTACGTAAGAAGTGCTGGGGTGTCCCCGTCGATGAGTGTGAACTCAGGTTCAGGAACGAGGAGGTAAGACAACTGCTGTTTTAGACGGCAGACCCACTAGGGGTATACCGATTGTGCGGTAGGCCCAAAAGGGGTTTAAATCTGTGTATGGAATCTGCCCCCTCTGTCGGAGGGAAGGAGCGAAGGCGCACCGCTCGATCGAACGCTCTTTAGTAAGACCGTTTGATCTGGTTAGTCAGGCGGGGTCCTGTGTAAATAGCCCTAGCCGGACACCGGTGTCTTGTCTAGACTAGCGTTCTAGGGTGTATATTACGTTCGCTAGGTCGGAGGGACCGGGAGACTAAGCGGCGCCTGTGTAAATTCGGTTCGCTAGCTCTCAACCTATCTTGGCTAAGTGGGAAGGCGTGTAAATTTGGAACCCACTAGACTTTTGATAGAGTAAATAGACTAGAAGGGCAATTTTGTAAATTTCGCCCTCTAGTTCGCTATATGTGGTGTTTGGGCAGTGTGGCTAACCAAAACGGGTGTATATAGTTTTAGGTAGTCCATTCAAGGTACTGGCCAATAGTTTAGTTGGGATTGTAAATGTGTTAAAGATTGTTAGTAAAGTGTATATCTTGTTAGATAGCGCGAGCTCAGCCGTCTAGCGAGAGTGTTAATAGTGTGTTGCTGTATCATAGTGCACGGTACCATAACCCTGTATATTTACTGACACTGTATATAAGTACTAATCATTGTCGTCTATTGCATGTTTAACACCGTAACCACTAATAATTGTATTGTGACCTTAAATTGTGCTTTGACCTATGCTAACCGTACTGTAACCGATACTAGTAAAAGACGATGTTACTGGGGTGTGTTATAGACGGGTAATTCATATATAGAGAATTATAGCGTGGGTGACTGTATAGTTTCGCCAAAGGGCATAATATTGATTATTTAGTGACTGGTGTAACAGCTGTGTGTGTACGGGAATTCCCTGAGTGATTATTGTGTTATTGTGTACGTTTCACTCGGTAACTGTACCACGTGGTGCTGTTGCCAGAGGAAACGGGTGTGACTGTTGAATAAGAACGCGTGCATAGTATTCGTTGTCAACGACGTTCCATTGATAAGTATGGGCGCGTCAGAGTCAACGATTTCGGATCCCTTAGGTTGTATGGTAAAGAATTTTAAAAAGGGATTCAAAACATGTGATTTTGGGGTTAAAATGTCTCCTGTACGTTTGGTCACTTTGTGCACTAGGGAGTGGCCTATTTTGGTTGCGGCATGGCCGCCGCGTGGCAGTTTGGATCCAACCCTGGTACAGCGTGTACACGTGGCTGTGTCAGGTAGGCCTGAACTTTACGGACAGTTTCCATACATTGATTGTTGGGGGCAGGCCGTAAACGACTCGCCAAAATGGATCCGGATATGCCACGAGGAGCAATGTCGCCTCATGGTGGCCAGGACTTGTTTGTCCACTAGGACTGGTGTTAGGCCCATTTTGGACACGCCCCCTGAGTCCGAGATCCCTTTGCCGCCTCCTTACTTTCCTTTAAGAGGAAGTGACGCGAATGCAGGAAGCTCTGCACCCCTTCCCCTATTGCCCCCATCCACTTCCGCTTCCTCCTCCAGTACAGAATCCACCCCCCCTCGTATTAAAACTCCCCTTCCGGAACCAGGACCAACCCCCATTAGATCTGAATATCCTGATTTGGCGCCACTTCAAACTTCCGGTCAAGCTTCTTCTAGCTCGGCTCGGAGTATACTATTCACTAACTTTTCCCAAAATCAAGTTCCCACATCCTCATGCCCTATTACCTCTCGACCGGAACCTTTAACTGACGCCCCTCCACGTAGCCCCATACTAACCCGACAACTGACCGGTACCCAACAATTAAAACATTATCAGATGCCTCTTCGTCTGAATCCTGGGTCAGCCTATATCGATGCCGCAGGTCAAATGGCACATGCTGACCCAGTCTTCGTATATGTCCCGTTCACGACTACCGATCTCTTGAATTGGAAGACCCACAATTCCTCGTACACTGAGAAACCACAAGCTATGACCGATCTGTTCACCTCGATAGTTCAGACACATAACCCGACATGGGCTGATTGCCAGCAGTTATTAATGACATTGTTCAATAATGAGGAAAGGACAAGGATTAACCAAGCGGCCATTAAGGCGCTAGAGGAGAGAGCCCGTGCTTTAAATCAAGCCAATCCGGCAGCATGGGCCGCAACACATTACCCTAACACCGATCCTGACTGGAATGTAAATGGCGCAGATATGGCTCAACTTAAAGCCTATAGAGATGCTATAATTGCTGGCATGAAAGCCGGAGGGAAGAAAGCTATTAACATGTCGAAGACAGTTGAGGTGATTCAGAAAAGTGATGAAGCGCCCAGTGTCTTTTATGACCGATTATTGGAGGCATACCGCTTGTATACCCCCTTTAATCCGGAAGACGCTGATAATTCCCGAATGGTAAACTCCGCCTTTGTCAGCCAAGCTTACGGAGATATTAAGCGCAAGCTACAGAAATTAGAAGGGTTTGCAGGTATGTCTATCACCCAACTAATGGAGGTAGCGAACAAAGTATATATGAATAGGGAAACAGAAAGTAAGAAAGAGGAAGAGCGCAAGATGCGTAGAAAGGCAGATATGCTAGCGGTAGCGATCGCAGGCGTAGATAGACGGGGCCCAGATAGAGGCGATGGTAGATGGAATAGGGAGCCTTTGAGTAGGAATCAGTGCGCGTACTGTAAGGAAGAAGGGCATTGGAGGAACGAGTGTCCGCAAAGAGAGCAGTATGAGAGAGACTTACCCAGGGCAGGTTACGGAAACTTTAGAGGCAGAGCGAGAGGTAGAGGAGGCCCCGGAGGGAGTAATGGTAATAGAGGGAGTAATGGTAATAGAGGGAGTAATGGGAACAGAGGAAGTGTAAGGGAAGATAGGTACTATCCAGCAGCGCAAAGGTCCCGCGATAGAGAAGGTAGGGACTTTGTGGGATTGGCTGACACGGTCATGGAGGACTATTGATACCGACCGGGCTCCATCCCCCTTGGTCGAGCGGAGCCTATGGTCGATGTATCAATAGGGGGA